TTAAAAAAAGACGAATCGTGGGCCCGACACCGAATTACACTGCCGTGCTAAGGAAGAACGCCGCATGAACATTCGAGAGTTGCCAAATTTCCTTCGATAAAACATGTAATTTTAACGAAATTACATGTTTATATGTTCCCTTGAAACTTTCAGACATCTTAGATTTAATTGCGTACCTAAACCATTAAGTGAAAATTTTGGAAACAAATATTCGCAATTTTCTCAGTAAATTCGATTTTTATTGGAGGAAATTTGGCAACGTCTGAAGGTTCATCTGGCGTTTTTCCTTAGCTCGGCAGTATAGGTAGATAGATGAGTTATTTCAGCTTAAAAGCGATAATGTTTACTCAAGCACTTAAGCCGAATTTATCGACTACTGAGCATCTCACCGCGCCGCTGCGCTGACGAGCTTGATAATTTATCGCCGTGGAAAAATGTGATTGAATATTCTTCGGGGAGGGAAAGGAAGAAGAAGGTTGGTTTGAAAAGAAGAAGAAGAAGAAGAAGAAGAAGAAGAAGAAGGAGCGATGGCGAGTAGGCAGTGGCAGCGGCGGCCGGCGGCGCGCGCGAAACAATTAAAATGTCGGTCAAGACCGGCTACATCTTTTAATCTCCGAGTTGGAGCAGAATCCCGATTAACGGGAGGAAACGGGCATGATCCGCGTTTACACCGTATAACCGCGCTCCTCGCCCGTTTTCTCACCTTGCGCTAGCGCCTCGTGGCTACTGCCCATTCCGCTCGCGGTTGCCGTTTTACCTCAAAATAAAAATTAAATAAATAAAACGGCATTAAATAAAGGGGTGGTGTATTGAATTTCGACATTTTTTAAATGTTTTCCTCGTCCTACGTGAAATGTGTTTTTTTTTTTTTTTTTTTTTTTTTTTTTTTTTTTTTTATTCATAGAAAATATATATAACATTCAGTCTACAAATATTCAAAAGAAAAGTCGCACTTGAGAACTCAAGTATGTGAGTAGCTAAATAATGAGAGATTAATCATATCTTAATCATGAAATCAATAGAGAGTATAAAATCATAAACATTTCGGTCCATATGAAGTCCCAGGTCTAATAAATTGATGGGTTAATTAGTCAATACGAATAATTATTCATAATATTAACCTAACTATGACGTGAAATGTGTTACCGAAAAAAAAAGTGAAGTTGATTTAACATTCCGGATGTAAAAAAAGTGTGCGAGAACTCACAAAACGCTGAACTAACCGCTACAGCAGTTACTTTTGCAATGTCAAGATGTAAAAGTAACTAATATGGCGGGTAATTCAACATTTTTTGAGTTCTCGCACACCGTTTTTACATCCAGAATGTTAAATCAACTTCACTATTTTTTCGGCAGTGTCTTCTACGCACGAGAGATTTTACCAAATGAGTAAAATTTAAAAGTAAAATTGCACGAAAATCTTGATGATCACACCCGCAATGCGTGAAGTATCCCTGTTAGGTTTGCAGGCGTCAGTGCGTCGCTGCGCAATGCGTGAAGTATCCCTGTTAGGTTTGTAGGCGTCAGTGCGTCGCTGCGCAATGCGTGAAGTATCCCTGTTAGGTTTGTAGGCGTCAGTGCGTTGCTGCGCAATGCGTGAAGTATCCCTGTTAGGTTTGTAGGCGCCAGTGCGTCGCTGCGCAATGCGTGAAGTATCCCTGTTAGGTTTGTAGGCGCCAATACGTCGCCGCTCCGCTTTGTGTTAGGCTTGAATAATTAATATCGCGGAGTCAGCGTTTTTCAACTCATGATTTTGAAATGTTTGCACACTCTGCATGGATTATTCTCATTTTAATTAATGAAAAAAAATATATTTTAAAGGAAAATATAACGTGTGTTTTGTAAATATAAAGGTAGTTCCATAACAAACTTAATGATTTCCAAAGCACACGAATTTCTACACAGTTTCTTATAACCTTTTATAGCCAATGGTGATAAAGTGTAAAGCCCGGCGATAGGAACTATAGCCAGACTGTATCCTTTTTTATAGCTTCGTATAGCCCGGCTATATGATTTGCTTCGCTTTCTACAGCCAGCTATATGATTTTCAATAGCCTTCTTTAGTCGGCTATAAGAATTCCTATGGTATTTTGAAACGCACCTCCTGTCGCCAATTTTTACCAGGGCAACAGCGGGTTGATTGTTGAAAAAAGACAAAGCGATGGACAAAAGAGACAAATGGAAAAGCGAAACTATTGGTTGAAACGAAATTGCACGAAAATCACGTTAAGTTCACCAGTGAGCTGATTATTGAAATTGATAGACAAGGCGATAGAAAAAAAGAGGGAAACGGACAATGGAGCAATCCTATTGGTGCAGATGTTTCTTTTGGACTAAAAGGGAAAATGATGGACTAACTGATGAGGGGTCTCTCGTGGGTCGCCGCTCGTTATTCTATTACTTACCTCAATTTTTCACTGCAACCACCTTACTCAAATAGGATAGCTTCATTTTCCCTTTGTCTTATTCGTCTATCGCTTTGTCTATCAATTTCAATAATCAGCTTGATGTTGCACACAAGAGATTACGCTAAATGAGTGAATTTACCACAAATAAAATTGCATAAAAATCTCGTTGAACACATCAGAAAAGTCTAATGTTTGCTCCCTAACGCAATAATAGCGCAGTCCTCAAGGCGCTTTTTCAAATTCACCGCGTCCGCGGGCAGTTTTCCTCACCATCACTCGCCGCTAATCTGAGATGAGAAGTCATACAAAATGCTATGCTTGGCTTTTAGTCCAATACAATAAGTCAGTTCCTGCTAAAACAACAGCCTTTTCTATGTGCTTCCCCAAAACGCTGATGTTTTGTCGTTATTTTAGTTAAAGACGTTTATCGGGAGGTAATGGTAGCAAAGAACAGTTCGGCACTCTTCCATTTCATCGGTGGTTCTTCGCAAGCTACTCATAAAAGCTTGTTTTGCACATCACAATATTTGCAGCGTGGGAAACACATCCATAGCGCCTTCAATTCAGTGTGTCTGCAGCACAGACATCCTCGGAGTTCGAATAGTTGTATCAAGGGGTTTTCTTCACCGCTCCACACCATTCTGCAGAAGGAGCGCCGTATGAGTCTTTAGACGTTGCCAAATTTCCTTTGAAAGAATAAATTTTATTGAGGTAATATGTGAGAAACTTTCTCTTGATTTTTCAGGGAGTTTCTTCGCAACTGAATCTACTGCATCTGAAAATCGTAAAGAAAATGAGCCATTTTCGTAAAAAAAAGAAGAAAAATAAATTGTTTTCGAGAAGATATTTGGTGATGTCTAAAATGTTAATACGGCGTTTTTCAGCACGACAGTATAGTCGTATCGTATTATCGATCGAAATAATAATTCTGACTTGTTACCGAGAAGTACAATAACGACCACATTTTCAAAATCGAGTAGCTTCCTACTTGACCAATCGAACATGAACGATCGGACTGATTCTGATCCAACTACAAGAATCGTCTTATTTATATAGAATTAGAGTTATTAGGACGTATCAATGCTGAAAGGAACTAAGTATAAATAAATTAAAATCAAAGATAAAGGAAACTGTGTGCGTAGCATGCAAATCCTGAGCACATTGTCTATCAATAGTTCCTTAAGCATATATACGTCCATTTTTCCAATTTAGAGATCCATCCAAAATGTACATAATACTTCAAAAATATTCTGAAAATGTTACCGATCATCCAACTGGTTGCTAATACACGCACTGACGAAAATCATTCACTCCGGTGAGGTATACTTTATTTGCAGAAGACGTTGTAACGCCGGACATTGCCTCCGGCTAGTGGCTCCCACCTGTCGTTTATTTTAGCGGCAAACTCGTTTCGAGCACGCTAATCGAGAGCTCAAGAGGTAATAGATCAGTGACATTGTAACTTAGCCGATCTGAGGAGATTCTGGAGATAATTAAATTATGCGTGAACTCAGATGCACGAGTGCTCGGCTCATTCATTTGGACGTATTTCTGTCAAATGGAGCTATGTGCATTAAGACATGAGTCCTGAGACCCATAAGAATACATGCATAATAGGGCTCACATCATAATGCACATAGTTCCGTTTGACAGAAATACGTCCATTTGATGCTTTGCTGACTCAAAGACGTAACTGCTCTTCGAAATTACCCCTGTCGTCCGTAAAACTCCACGCTTTTCAGGGCTCAAATAAAAATTGACCTAACCTAACCCAACACAGCTATGCTAAGGAAGAACGCCGTATGAACATTTGAGAGTTGCCAAATTTCCTTCGACAAAACGTCCATTTTTAATGAAAGTAATTCATATTTTTCCTTGATTTTTTCAGGACCTTTGGGTGAAATTGCGAAGAAAATTATCCGAAAAATGAGAGGAAAAATATTCTTAAGTTTACCAGGAAATTCATGTTCTATCAAATGAAATTTTACAACGCCTGAAGGTAAATACGGCGTTTTCCCTTAGCACGGCCGAATACAATTATAGAGTGATGTTCTTACCCTTTGTTTTGAGAACTTATGGCGGTGTCTATAAAATCCCCGTTATTGGCAAGAAATTGCCATAAAGCACTTATTTAAGTATTTATTCAAGCATCCAAAATCGACAAAACGCTGAGTAGCGTTGGTTTCGTTTAAATTTTGGCGGGAAATTTGCCCATGGGTAAAGAGGACCCATAAAAATGGAATATTGCAACTGTTTCAAACTGCCCGCCACAGCTGAAAAAAAGTCGACGCGACTAATAGTTTTATCGATTTTGGGTGATCTGAATGAAACCAACATTTAAAAGAATTAGAGATGGGTTATTTTCCAATTAAACGACTCACATTTATTCTCAGTGATACAATTTAGTTTTAAATTAGTAAACCTTTGAAAAATTTGGAAAAAGCGCACTTACTACATAAAATTAAGGACTAACCGTAAAAAAAATCAGAATTTTCAGGGAGCAATTCCAGAATTTACGCTATTCAGTGAATGTACAAATGGAAGCTTTCTAAGCTACATCCCTAAAGTTTGTTCTTCTTCTCTGTTGCACAGGTTACTGGTGCCGGGCATGGCATAGGTCGACAACTTGCAATCCAGTTATCTCAACTCGGCTGTGATGTCATTTGCGTTGATATCAATGCGGAATCGAATCAACAAGTAGTTGACATCATCAACAAACAGGTAAATACTTTATAATCATTTTTGCTTGGGAACATTTTCATTCTTGGCTTGACCTACCCTCCCTGTCACAGTGTCACCCACCGCTAGACCTCCCCCCCCCATCCCTTAATTGGACGTAATACATGGACGACCCCTAAAATCATTGGATAGGTAACTGCCCTCATTACGCTTTTCGGGAACGCAACATAGTCCAGAATAGTTAAAAATGAAGCTACCTGGAATTTCGGGTGCACACCTATTTTTTGGTCTCTGTAAAGTTTTTTGGGTCGCTGAGTCCGAGTCTGAAGTTTCTTTATACGTAACTGGTGTGCATTTGCAGCAATTTTGAAAAAATAACCTAAATAGACCTTTTTTGCGGTTTTTTTTTTAGAATAGCGGCTACGTATAAGAAAAAATCCCGGATTTAGTTAATGTTTTGAATAGTTGATATGTAATTTGGAGGAAAATGGGATATAAACATGCTAGATTTGCTCAAAAATTGAGGAATTTCGGAACGCTTCGAAACTTGGCGGACCATGGTGAGCCCGACCGCGCTGATGGTTGCGCCGCGATAACGTGAACGGGTGCGATGTTCACGATGCTGTATCTTCCTGTATTTCTGAGTGAACCTAGCATATTTATATACAATTGTCTTCCAAATTAGGTCAGCTATTTAAATCATTAACTAAATCCGGGATTTTTTCTTATGCGTAGCCGCTATTTTTAAAAAAACCGCAAAAAAGGCCTATTTAGGACAGTTTTTCAAAATGGCGGCAAATGCACACCAGAAACGTGTAAAACTTCAGATTTTGATGTAGCGACCCAAGAAACATAAAAAGGGCCAAATAAATAGCTGTGTACCAAAAATTCCGGGTAGACTTACCAGGCACCTGGACGTAAGCCCTGCATAGACGATCAAATTCCGAACCATACCGATCAAAGTAGACATGCTGATGACTGGTGGTCACCATCTACCATCAAATTTTGACGGGCCGCACTTTTTTGCTCAAAGTAAAATCAGAACAGAGTGCCACCATTCATCATTTCCTGCCACAGGAAACATTTCTGCCAAGTTTTCATTTTAAAATGAAGCAAATTAATGAGTTTAAGACTGATGACTCCCGACACTTTCATGCTACTTTGATCGGAATTGGTTCGGGAATTTGATCGTCAATCGAGGCCTTAAGTCCTGCAGCTGCGTTGAGAAGACTGTCGGATTTCCACGGATGGATTTCCACGGATGGATTTCCACGGATGGATTTCCCTGCGGGTTCCGATCGAGAGCGCGGGTGATACTTTCACGTCTGCGCATGCGTTACGACTTACTAGGAGTTGCGACCACATCACGTGTGAGCTGTGAGATTACAAAAGCTGGCGCGCCGCTTGAATGGTAATGACTCCCCCAACCCCAGCCTCGACTGCAACAATAAACTCATTCGCTCGTTTGCCATTTCATCTAAGCTTGTACACTGCCGTGCTGAAGAAGAACGCCGCATGAGCCCTCAGACGTTAACAAGTTTCCTTCGACAAAAACCGAATTTATTAGGAAAGTCGTGTATACTTTTTTCCAAATTTTTAGACAATTTAGCACGTAATTTAACCTAAAATATATGAGAATTTCACGGAAAAATATGCATGAATGTCGTCAGAAATACATGTTTCATCAAAGGAAATTTGGCAACTCTCGAATGTTCATACGTCGTTCTCCCTTAGCACGGCAGTACAGAAATCCCGTGTGGCGACTGTCAAAATGTCACAATAGATAGCAAAATTACCGGACTAAGGAAAAACGCCGTAAGAACAATTGAGAGTTGCCAAAATTCCCCGGGTAAAACATGGGTTTTGGGAAAAGTTATGGATAATTTTCCTCGAAATTTTCACATAAAAACATTTCACACTAAATTGCGAACAGTATTGTATGAAAAACTCGAGGAAAAATATTCACAATTTTCCTGGTAAATTCTATTTTATCGAAGGAAATCTGGCAACATCTGAAGGCTCACGCGTTCTTCCTTAGCACGGCAGAACAGGCTAATACTAAAAGTTCAAAAATTGGGGGAAAATATGATGAGGCACATTAAACGCTGCTAAGATGCTACCATTTTAGTTTGAAAATGATCCAACTTTCAAAGAACAAAAGAAGAAAAAACAGGAAAAAATGTTCATGGCCCGTAGCTAAAGTTTTCAGTGATTTGAGGGAGATTTTAGTGCATTTTGTCAATCTTCTGTAAAAAGCCTACAAGTTTTGAGTCCAAGAGTAAAATCCGGGGTGCATTTCATTTTTGCATTTATTTTGCATGCAAAATAACCTGGGGGTAATTAAAGAGTAAGAAATTAAATCCGTTCCGTAACAGTGGAATGAACTTTACGAGGAGAGCTGATTTTTCTCCGCCCCTACGTCACTTCGCTTGGTCAAGAGCAAAAAAAGCTCCAGAGTGGAATGCACTCCAGATTTGACTCTGAACGTTTTTACGATGCAGGATCATGCCAGTGATATATAAATTTTAGAACTTAGAGAAAAAATATGGCGAGACTCATCTAGATTGACTTTGTGAAAGGTCCGAAAAATCTTTTTTAAAAATGAAAATAAAGATGAAATAAAGGTTTTTTTTTAATTGTACACTTACAATTGAGGGGTTTGAAGGACAAGACCGCATAAGGGCAGTTTTTGAAAAAATTGGGATATTTATGAACTCAACTAAAACTAGTTTGAAAGTATATTCTGGAAAAATTTCACGACTAAAATCCAACTTTAAAGCATCAAAAAGTGAGTTTGAACTTCATTTCCGTCACAAGGCTCCATGTATTTTGAAACGTCAAACACGTATTTTTTGAAATAGCAGAAAAAGCACTTATGCGCCTCGTTCTTATCCTTCAAACCCCTCAATTGGAAAAATTCACACAGGAATTTCCAGACTGCCTTAGTCCTCACACATTTGTTTTTATAATCACGGAAAAAACAATGTACGGAAAAAACAAATGGAGCCAACTGCTATGGCAGCACTGCTGAGACCTACAGTATGTAGGGCTGGAACCTATGAAGTTTTAGGGCTCAGCGCTACTGCCATACTAGCTGGCTCCATTTGATCTAAACAGTCAGTGCTCAGCACTATATCGTTTTTTCCAGGATGAAAAAAGAAAGATACAGAAGTTTGTCCCAATATTTTAAAAATTTAATTTACTTCAATGAAACATATTTTTGAAACTTTCGGAATTGGGTGATTTTCAAAAGGAAATATTCGATTTCCACCCGTTTGGCAACACTGTGAAAATGCGATGCACCCACGGTGACGCAATCGGGGTTAAAGTTGACGGAACTGCGAGGAGCGCAGACCACATTTTGACAACTATGAGCGCGGTGCGTCAAATCAAGATGATGCACCGTCGTCGGCGAACTGCGAATCATTATCATTGCTCCTCGGTGCAGCTGCGCTGCATTTAAAGCTCATCTTAGATTAACTCTCCCTCCTTCAGCGCGGAGCACCTAATTGCAGTTGGGTGAGTCACATCACACGCGGGGTCTTATTCTCGGTCTCTCTCGGTCAAGGAAACGCGTCGCCGTCGGTTTCAAGTTGAACGAGAAACGTTGACGTGTTCGGACGTCGCCGTTTTCAGACACATCCATCGTCGGAATCTGGGTCATTTTGTCGCCAGAAATGGGCCAGTCGATCCGCCATCCTTTTTCCCAAGGAAAACATCACAAAAAATATGCGAATATTTACAGAAAAAAATAACCTCAGTGCAAGAAAAGACTATAAATCGAGATGAGAGAAAACCACTAGAAAATGGACCGCATTAAACGGAAAGGAACCAAGCCACATCAGCTATTGCCGAATTTAACAGGGAAATTGCATTTTTTACGAGAGAACGTCTGTGCCGATTCCTTTGAAAATTTTAAGGAATTTGCTTTGTATCATGGAGAAAATTCACTGAAATTTGTACAAAAATCCGCACAACCGTTTTCATGTTAAAAATTAAATTGCCCGATTAAATTAGGCAATAATTGATGTGGCTTGGTTCCTTTCTGTTTAACGCGGTCCAAATGTGGTCTGATGTATCCTGCCGTACTAAGGAGAAACGCCGTATGAGCCTTGAGACGTTGCCAGATTTACTTAAATAAAACCAGAATTTTCTTGGAAAATTCTGAATTTTTCCCTCAAAATTTTTCGACAACTTTGTTCGCATTCTTATCTAAAATATCTGAAAATTTCGAGTAGACAAATGAATAATTTTTCTCATGAATACTTGTTTTATCCGGAGAAATTTGGCAATACTCTCGAATGCTCATACGGCGTTCTTACTTAGCGCGGCAGTGTAATAACAAGGTGGTAAAAAAATAAGATAGGACATTTGGCAACGTGCAATGCATTAGGCTAATTCTAGTTGAAACCGTTAAAACATCAGACCCATCGACTTATTAAGAAACGTGCTCTGAGTTGGTAATATAAGGGCATCTTTTAAATGGAGAGAGCGTTAAAATGAATGAAGGCGCTTTCTTGTATTTTGTATGTTTGTTCCAAGATTGTGGCATGTTTGCCTCGGCAAAATTCAGCAAACTTGGTGACGCTTAATATCCTCCGTGCAAATTTGCGGACGATGAGTGGGGAAAACACAAAGGAAGTCTCGCTGATCGCTGATCTGCCCTTTGCAAACACTAACAGCAATAAGTTAAAAGCTCACACTGCGAGAGAATGCAATGAAGCGTCTTGTCTAAACGAGCAAAATGTACGCTTTGGAACTGCTTTATTCCTGAGAATCGGACTTCTTTTTGCAATTATAAACTACATTATGTAAAATTTAAAAATTGTACATATTCAACGACTTGTGTAGTGATTTAAACTCCTGTAACATTTTCTCAGAAACTAGACTCTCTTACTCTTTCATAAAAACACTCATCTGCATTAGGAAAATAATGGTGCATACCTTGTTCCTCAAAGTAAGCTGGAAATTGTAGTTCCTAATTGCAATATACAGTCCAATTACTATATAATGAGAATTAACAGAATATGATATCGAACGGATCTTTGAAACAAGGACGACCGATTGATATGCACTTTCTATTTATCTTTGTTTCTGACCTCTTCTTATGTTTCTTGTTATACGTGCATGACAAGATTATATGATCCGTTTTCGATATGAAGAAAATAAAATTAATCAATGGATATATATGTATTAAGGTTACTTTCAAATATAAGCCAAGATAAGCATAAGCTTCTCAGAGACAACTCACTGTAAGCATAGGTACAGGGAGGCATCTGATATTGTCAGGAAGGGGTCATCCTTTCTTTCAACAGATAAAAACAGAATAAGTCCGGCAAAAGGTTATTCCAGAATTTTTTGGATAGACAGAATAATTATTTCCCGCTCTTGATGACGACTTGCACTCGGCACTTTGCTTGGCTTTCAAGCGAATGGTATAATTTGTCTGTTTATTTAGAATGTAATTTTTGTAGGTGAGTCCGAAAAATCTTGGAAATACCCTCAAATTAGGTGAAATCGTCCCGAAAAAGGTCAAATTTCGAATTCAACTGGGATAGTAGCCTCCCAAACTTGCGTTCCAGGACCCTATACCCCTCGGTTGCACCATTATAATCTGGAAAAACACATTGGATCTAGAGTCCAGACTCTTGAAAACATTGACAAGAAAAAATACTCTTGAGCCAATCAGATTTTTGCTTAAATCAAAAGGAAATCCGCTCAAATTAAGAGGCTTGGTTCTTGATTTAAGCAAAAATCCGATTGAATCAAGAGTATTTTTTCTTGTCGATGTTTTTAAAAGTCTGGACTCTAGATCCAATGTGTTTCTTTTTCCAGTGCATTCTTTAAAATATTTCTCACCTTAAAACCCGACGATATCCATTCGAGTTTCTGATAACACGCCCTTGCAGTGAAAAAATAACCAGCAAACGCGGCCTTTGAAAGGTGTCAATAACGCTGGCTCTCAGCAACTTTTGTGCCTTTCATTCCTTTTACTTCATTATCCGGAGCTTAATTTTTTACTCAAAGTCAACCATTCCGCACCTACATGTAGTCGTGTTGAAGTAAAAAAAAAAAAAAAAAAAACCCCTATTTCCATTGTGTCATGGTCTCTGTCGTGCATGTATTCTTACGGGCTTCAGGGCTCCTTTCGCAGTGGAGATAGTTCCTTTTGATTTGGATATACGTCCATATTTAGAATGAGAATGGCCTCGCGTGGGGAGTTCGTCTAATTGGCGGTTGTCAGTTTCTTGATGGATAGTTTACTTTATGACCGCACCGAGTCGGTCATACTCGGACGGTGGGTGACTCGGCTTTTCAAAATTACCGATCACCGGCCTCACTTTTCCTTTTATTATTTCCAATTTTTTTCCAACCTCAGTGCTCGTTTGCTCCGCGATACCGAGTGACTGCGGGTCGCCGCACAGTGGATCGGGTCAATTAGAGAGGTCGGACGTGAAATTTTTGACCGCAGAACTGCAAATTTTAATGTTTATTTCGTCACATTTTAAACTTCAAGGGGTGTTTTTGGAAGAAAATTTCACGAAAAAACCAATAAAACCACTTTTAGAACCTCAAAGTTTTGCATAAACGGAGTTATAAGCGTTTAAAGTTTCCAAATTTTGTCCGACCTCCCCTACTGACTCGATCCACCGTGCGCCGGTCACTGCAAGATTTGTCTCGACAAATGCGAGAATGATTGTAAGTTGACGAGAGTCGTGCCGTTGAGAAACCGTTCCACGTCAAAGCCGATTTTTAAGATTTTCCTTTATTGCGATTAGCTTACTTTGCTACCTCTACGTTAAAGTCTCTGCTAGATTGCCAGTAGACACAGTCTCTTCTGTTTTATACTTATCAGTGGTGCACAAAAAATGGATCTATGTGGGTAAACGTCATAGTGTAGTAAACGTTGAGTGGTTACGTGATAACGGCGGGGGTCAGGGAGCCACTCAATTTTTTACTTGTTTTTATGTGTTTTTGCAGCTGGAAATGAGCTGGTAACAGCTCGAAACGTCCTTCCTTTTTGTGTTTTAATCATTTTTTTAGCCTTGTTTACCCATATTTTAATTAAATCTCCTCTTTAAACGTCATAGTGTAGTTATTAGTTGAGACTTGAGAGACCTTAACGCAACGGTAGAAAAGTTAACCATCCGCATAAACGGAAAATCCTAAAAATCGGAGCCTACACCTTTCGATGCATCCAAAGGCTGAAACAACCGGATACATATGCACCATCAGATGACATGGCCTATCATGAAATCGATAGATATCTCCGTATGAACTCGCCGTTTGGCCGGATCATAATATTATCATTGGTGAATCATGATGGGAGAGGGGGACGCCCCACTAATAAGGGTCGGGAGAATCCCCTATGTCCGGAGGAAGGGATGATCCAGGACCAGGAGGCCCTCTCAGCGAACTGATTACTGAAATTGATAGATAAAACGATAGACAAGGAAGACAAAGGGAAATAGAGCGATCCTAATAGTTGAAACGGGTGGGTGTTACAGACTAAGAAGGATGATGATGGAAAAATTATTGGGTCTATCGTAAGTTGCAGTCAATTAGTATATTACTAACCTCCTGGTCCATTGCAACCACCCGCTTCCACCAATATCGGATCGCTCCATGTCCCTTTTGCCTTCTTTGCCTATAGCTTCGTCTATAAATTTCAATAATCAGCCCTAAATTCAAAGTGGGAAAAGGATATTATTGTTTTTGACAATGTATGTTTTTTTTTCAATACTACTCCAGTGTAGTTAAACATCGTTTACGCTAACACACTCATCCGGCGATACGTTGGCCTTACACTTAATCTACGTCTTTTTTTTTTTTGCAGAACTCAGGGGAAAACGATAACGACGGTGTGGTGATCAAAGGCAAGGGTGGTTCCGCGGGGATGCGGCCCGGACAGGCTTTTGCGTACTCGTGTGACGTATCCGATCGACTGGCCGTGTTCCGATTGGCCGCGGAGGTCTGCTCGAGGTTCGGGCGTGTCGACATCCTGGTCAACAACGCCGGGATCATGCCTCCGCAGCCCATCCTCGACACCGACCCCGCTGATGTCGTCAATATTGTAAATATCAACCTCCTCGCTCACTTCTGGGTAAGTTACACGGATTTCAGAAGTACTTTAAAAGCTTCATTGTTGAAAGTTGAAGAGTTAAATTTGGCTCCGGAGTCTATTTGGACCGCGTTTGGCAGAAAAGAACCAAGCCACATCAGCTATTGTCAAATTTAACTGAGAAATAATTTAATTTTTACGAGCGAACGTTGGTGTAGATTTCTTTGAAAATCATAAGGAATTTGCCTCGTGCGGACTATGTAGATAATTAACTCAAATTTGCACAAAAAGTCCGCAAAATCGTTTTCATGTAAAACATTAAATTTCTTAAATTGGCAAAAGCTGATGTGGCTCGGTTCCTGTCTGCCTAACGCGGTCCATTTAGCGCTCAAGGTGCGAGTGATGTGAGTGCTGATATGACAGATGTTTCGGATTTTTTGTATCTTAAGATGCGTCACGGAACGTGCGCATATCCACGACTTGAACTTGTAATTATTTTTGTGTTGATTTACGCTAACATGTAGTCCACGATGTGTTTATATCCGGCGGGAATCGTGTCCCTGAAACTTAGTAATCCGATCCGGCCCTGATTTTAGGGCAATCAAGACCGACCCTGACGAGTATCTTGACGCACTTGGACGCTCACGTTTTTGACGGTTACTCGCCACACTCGCATGTGTCCGTTAATGACAGATACAAGTCCATGCGTTACTCATTAACGTGAAGTGAAGTGAGCGTATTTATGCTGAAAGAGACTATTTGCATAGGGTCTGCATGCAACATAGTTCTTTTTAGCAAAAATACGTCCATGGTTAATGATTGGGGTTGCATGACTGAACGATAAACTTTTATGATGCTTAAGCGTTATTTTTCATATGAAACAAGGGCCGTGGGGAATATTCTTTTAATCTTTTTCTTCTTCTTTTTTTCAATTATTAATTAAAAGGACTTAAGTGGCAGAGCATGAATAAAAGTAGACCAAACTAATAGAATGAGAATTTGTAAAATGGTTCACTCTCTCAGAATAAATTGTCAAATTTTTCAAAAATACAAAAAATGTAAAATATCGATAGCTAAACACGTTCTAATTGTGACGTTGTAAATGTCTACAAATGTTTTGTTTTATTTTAAAAAAGAAAAAATGACGGTTTTTTCCTGTATCACCAATACGAAACAGTGTTTCAAAGATATACACACTGGCCCTTTTTGAGACGTCCCAAAGCAGTTACACATTTTTCGACTTCAGGCATCAATTTATTATTTCACCTCAATTCAACATTTTTTAAATATGATGCTCATCTGCGTAGCGAAATTATTCAGTTTTCGGCTACTCATAATGAAACCAAATCAAATACTGAGCTATTAGCCGATTTTTACCACAATATACGAACTCCGGCCTTGCTTTAATAAAAAACAATGTGCAAGAGGATGTTTATATTTATATAAACAAGTGTATCTTAATATGGTGAAAAATAAACATTCTATTGCACATTGTTATTCGGACTTATTTCTATCAAACGGACCTAAGCGCCATAGGGTGAGGAAGGTAGAGGGGGGCTTGGATTGGCGGCGGAATCGGGCGTCCGGCTTATTCCGTCCTATACTCGCAATGCTTTTCCATGGCGCTTGGGTCCGTTTGACAGAACGCGCTATCCGGGATTCTAAATTCCTCAAAAGGAACTCAAATTGGTGCTTAGTTCCGTTTGATAGAAATACGTCCTTTTATTAAAGCATGGCCTGAGTTCGCATATCATTGTAGAGAAAATCGTCTAATAGCTCACTGTTTTATTAGTCCAGGCGCCTGGTAGCTAAAAATGAGGCTACCTGGAATTTTGGGTACACAGCGATTTTTTTGGCTTATTTTATGTTTTTTGGGTTGCTGAATCCGAATCTGAAGTTTCCGCACGCGTATCTGGTGAGCATTTTCCGCTATTTTGAAAAAATGGCCTAAAAAGGCCTTTTTTTGCGGTTTTTTTGATATAGCGGCTACGGATGAGGAAAAGTCCCGGATTTAGCTAATGTTTTGAATAGCTGACATAATTTGGAAGAAAATGGTGTATACATATGTTAGGTTTGCTTCAAAATTGAGGAAGATACAGCATCGTGAACATCGCGCCCATTCACGTTTTCGCGGCGCACCCGTCAACGCGCGATCCGGCTCGCCGCGGTCAGCCAAGTTCCGAAGCGTTCCAAAGTTCCGAAATCCGAGGTTCCTCAATTTTGGAGCAAACCTAGCATATTTATATACCATTTTCTTCCAAATTATGTCAGCTATTCAAAACATTAGCTAAATCCGGGACTTTTCCTCATCCGTAGCCGCTATATCAAAAAAACCGCAAAAAAAGGCCTTTTTAGGCCATTTTTTCAAAATAGCGGAAAATGCTCACCAGATACGCGTGCGGAAACTTCAGATTCGGATTCAGCGACCCAAAAAACATAAAGTAGGCCAAAAAAATCGCTGTGTACCCAAAATTCCAGGTAGACTTACCAGGCGCCTGGACTATATTTGATCTCTTCAGTGTAGTAGTGAGAACGTGGCACAAGTATTAAGGGAACAAAACGCTGAGAAAAAAAGAAAAATATTATAAGTATGTAAAATTCATTAAAAAAGTTAATCACAGGTGTGCACTCTGTGCACGGTCTAAAGGGTCAGGGCTCAGGGCTCCACTCCCTTCCATTGATCAAAATATATTTCCTGAAAGAAAAAAAAGAGACTTGATTTTCTTGTGAAATTTTACCCCTTCCCTGTTCTAGGCCACAGAGAAATGTATTCCTAATAGCGGGCTGATTATTAAAATTCATACAGACAAAGCTATAGACAAAGAAGACAAAATGGAAACGAAGCGATCCTATTATAGTAGAAACGGGTGGTTACAACGGACAAAGGAGGTAAATAGAGGTGTCGTCAGATAAGTTGGCCATTGTTAACTTTTGGTTTGCAAGCGTTTTCGCGTCACTACTATCCACATGAAACGTCCCTCTGTTGCAGAAGCAAGAACTTAAGTTTAAATAGGTGTTTTAATACTTTCAAACCTTGTAACACTTTAATTTTTAGCCACACAGAAATCACGACCACATAAAAGTCGCGGATCATGACTGATAAGTAGTTTTTTTTACGATACGATCATGAGACGGATGTTTTTAAGGTGGATAGTAGGGAACGAAGGTCTGTGCAGAGGCCTGAATTTGTTGTCGCCGCTTAAAAACCGAAAGTAAACAATGGCCAACTTATCTGAAGACACCTCTAAAAGACAAACTAACGGCAACCCACGAGAGACCCTATAGTTTGTCCATCATTTTCCACCTTAGTCTATAGCAACCACCCGGTTCAACCTCTGGATCTCCCCATGTTCCCTGTATCTTCTTTGTCTTTTGCTTTGTGTATCAATTTTAATCATCAGCTAGCTGGCAGGGTTTGAATTTATCCATAAGACACTTATTATCGCAAAACCATCCGCAAAAAAATTCTAGCTCCATCATCAAAAGCGATGAAAACACAAGCATGGATGAAGACAAAATCACGATAAAAATTCGCCGCATGAATTGGTCGTGACTCCTCATCCATCGCGGTTAAACCGTCGCTTGGCTGACATAAGGGCGTAACTACACATTGAGATGAGCCCGGAAAAGCATTGAGTTGTATGGACGATAGGGTTCATTGCAGAGTGTGGTTACGTCCTTATGTCAGGTGGGTGACGAACTAGAGGAGAGGCCAAAACCATGATCCGATAAAATCTCCCGCTATTGCGGGTGTGTGAAGCAGTAAACTTCCTTCCTCCTGCATCCATAACCGCGAGATATCTGTGGTCTTCATCAAGGCTCTTCGAGAAAACGCCGCGGAAACCAAAATTAGACGTCATTTTTCCGTATTGAATGCGGGCGTTTCCTTGGTTGAAAACCTCATAGCGTCATCTTCATTACGATGTGATTACTTGTCACCGTCAGGTCATGCACTTGAAAACCGAGGCAATGGCCGCGACGGTAGGTCCAAGGTGACGCAACCGAGTCGTTAAAAGCGTGGAGGAACGTGTGGTCCTCTGACGTCCGCTGTTAGAATGATCCTCGATCATCTTCCAAGAAAAGAGCAATCAGTGGGTCTGTCTTGAGAGATATAATTCATGCTCCATTTTTCACATTTTTTTACCACTCTTAAAGTATAATCTCTCATGTTCACGAGACCCTTCTCTCTCCTCCTCACCACTATTCTGCCGAGCTAAAGGAGAACGCCGGGTGAACATTCGAGAGTTGCCAAATTTCCTCCGATAAAATGTTTCCTTTTGAGGAAAGCTACGAAGATTTTTCCTCGAAAATTTCAGGAACATCAGGTGAAACTACGAACAAAATTATGTGAAAAGTTGGAAAATGAATATTTACAAATTTTCCTGAGAATTCGTGATAATCCGAAAAAAATTTGGTAACGTCTGATGGTTTATATGGCATTCCTTCTTGGTATTTTTCCAGTAGGCAGTATTTTTCCGTGCTTAGTAAAAACGCCGTATAAGCATTCGAATGTTACCGAATTTCCTCTTAAAAAATATTAATTTTGGAAGAAAACCATGAATATTTTTTCTTTAAATTGTCAGACTCTTTAGATCAGACTACAAGCAAAATCCTACCAATAATCGGGAGGGAAATTTTCGGAGGAAATTTGGCAAAGTCTGATGGCTCATACGGCGTTCTCCCTCAAGACGGCAGTATTCCTCTGTCCCATCGCTCCCTCCTTGAGGCCTCTTCAGAGATGGAATTCCTTATAAAGGCCGTAGTGGCAAGCCGAGTGGCGTGAATATTTGAGATTGAGTATTCTTCTGAAAGGATCAACAGTTTTAACTTTTAAAAGGCTCTATTATCTCTCAGTGAGCCCCGGAGCTGGAGTAGTCGAGGGCCCTTTAACAAGAGGCCCTTATAAGGGCCGTAAGGGAACCCTTCCTCTATACCGAACGCTTTTTGCATGACTTGTGAAACTGATTGAACTGGAAGAAACAGAAAATTAAAAATTTACCGAACTTTTAACATTATTTTGTACGTGCTCTGATGTAATTTGCTTAATTTTGCAGACGATTATGGCCTTCTTACCAAAAATGATTGAAAACGGCTCAGGGCATATCGTGGCTGTCTCATCGATGGCCGGTCTAAGCGGACTCGCGAATAAAGTCCCTTACTCAGCGACCAAATTTGGAGTTGCAGGTGGGTTTTTCTTCTTTTTCCTTTTTAAAAAAGGCAGCTTCCTGCATACGCCGCACGGTGGATCGAGTCAATGGGAGAAGTCGGACATGATTTAAAAACTTTCAAAGCGTATACATGCATTAATATGAAATATTGATGTCTTAAAAGTAGTTTTATTGGTTTTCTTGTGAAATTTTCTGCAATAAGCACCCCTACAAGATTAAAATTGTGACGAAATAAACGTAAATTTTTTTAGTTTTTGTGACAAATTTCATGTCAGACTGCTTCCAAAGACCCGTTTCACTGTGCGCCGCATGCCGCGTTGTAAGGAAACCCCCATGAAACAATTGGCGATACTTTAGGGGTCTAGGGGTTGTTCAAGAACATATTACGTAAGCAACTTGTTGGGAAGGGGGATGCCTGAGCTTGTGTTACCGGGTCTTAAGAGGAGGAGAGGAAGGTCAAGCCTACTCTTACAAGAGTCCCTCACTTTTAAAAAAGGATAAAATTATTTTTTCTGCTACTTTTTAGGCTTTCTTCTTTCTAGGTGTCAGGCCAATCTTAGGTAACTGAAAAGGGAGAGGTTGCACTGCGGTTGCTTTACAAAAAGGAGGCTCAAGGCAAAGTAAAAGAAGCGTAGGTATGCTCTTCCCGACCCTTTCGGCTCCCGCCGCTAGAGCCTTGCGAAGTATGAATTTCAAAAATTTTGCAATCTCGGCCGAAAACAAATATTTGACCGCCTCTGTTGATAAAAATGAAAAAAAAAACAGCCATAATACTAAAAACAAGTGCATTTTTATATTTAAAAAATTCGTTTGCATTGAATTTGTTCGTTTTTTATCAACAGCAGACAATTATATTTGTTATCGGGCAAGACTGCAAAATGGTTGAAATTTAAACTTCGCGCCACAGCTCTAGCGGTAGGAGCCAAAAGCCGAGCTCTGGCCGAAAGGATTGGGAAGAGCCTACTTTTGTTTCACTTACCTTGGGGTCAAGGGGTCAAAAACTGGTCAAAAGTTCATACAGAGAACTTGAACATAACATACGCATAACATGTCGAAGCGTGAGAAATTATTACGACTTAGCCAGCACTAGTGATACCGAAAGTCAAGCTTGAGTTTAAGCAAGATTTTTTTTTACATCTGTCTGGTTTTTAATAAAAAAAAATATTCGCAATTCGCTTTTAGTTAAATATAAAAATTGATATCCTGTATGTTGGTAGTCTACTTACATTTTTTACTTTATGTGATAATGAATGAAAATTTAAAAAATGAATAATTATCGGAATGATCACTATCAGTAATTGACAACTCTCCGATCCCTTTCTTAGAGTTTCAAAGTCACAAACTAATTTTTTGTTTTCAGGTTTGATGGATGCTCTGGCTGAGGAATTCAAACTGAAGTCACAGAACATAATGACAACCTGCGCACATCCTTACTTTGTACAAACCAGGGATGATATTCCCGAAGTGTTAGATTTAAGGTGCGATTATCATTACAATTATTAAGATTTACAACGCTGTAAATATGAAATATTGTAAATTTTGTCGATACACCTTATTCAAACATATTACGTTTAATTTGCTTGATTGCTTGCCGTAAGTGCCCAAACGCGACTGGCGCGACAGTTAACTACGTAAGCAAATAGTTGTAATAAACCGATCTTTGTTCAGCCTTCAACATCTAGGTTAGGCAACAAACGTATCTCCTGCACCTCGGCGGCACAGTATATCGAGTTAATAGGATAGGTCAGACAAAATTTGAAAACTTTAAACGCTTATAACTCCGTTCATACGAAACTTTGAGGTTCTTAAAGTGGTTCCATTGGTTTCTTCGTGAAATTTTCCTCTGGAAATACCCCTTTAAATTTAAAATGTGAAGAAATAGACATCAAAATGTGCAGTTATATAAAAAAATTTCATGTCTGATGACCTCTTTGATTGACTCGATGCACTTTCCGGCGGCAAAGCAAACGATAATTTAGCGTTATAGCGTAGTGTAAATGCAAAATTGGCACAATGATGGCGATTACCCAGATATTATAATGAAAAGTAAAACACTTTATAATTCAATTCTTCTTCATTTTAGGCTACCTCAATTAGCACCAAGTTACGTAGCGAAGGCTATTATCCAGGCAATGCTGCGAAATCAAGAGTCAGTCAGCATTCCTTGTCAGCTCAGGTTCTTCGCTCATCTCCTAAGGTAAAGTATATGAGCATTTTTCTCGTCACTAAATGAAAATATGCCTTCTGGACTACATTTCTTGTTGCCTGAGCTTAAAGGAAACCACTTTAAGATACCTTTTTTAAGGCAAAACATGAACGTATGGAAAACAGAGCGTCAATTCAAGACGCAGGAAGTCATGCAATTTGTGACCATCCCTGGAAAAAAGGAGGGGGCAAGGAAACGAGTTAATGTGGGGCGTTAACGTTCCAAAAGATAAGCCGTTGCACCAAAAATCGATTGTTTTACATACATTTAAGGAAAACCAGGGTTGCCCACTTGTTGAGGCCTATCAATTTCATCCGTGTGAGACAAATTGATTATAGCCTTCATTCTAGATTTCGGGCCGAAAGGTACAAAGGGAAAATATACGCCACATAATTATGTATCTAAATACATTTATTTTTACTCATACTTGTTAAATGATTGAATTATTTGCTTATTTATTTCTTTTAATTGTTTACAGAATGTTACCTCAAGATGCTCGTCATGCATGGAGAGATGTTTTTTACACCAAAGTTTCAACAGTCAATCAACCTATTAGCTCTTTGACCATCGCTTGATTCGATAAAATCTTCTCGCCGATAACCTATCAGATTGAATCGTTTTTAATCGAGGAATTTCATCGATGTACACCGAACTAATTTCTCCATGAGATGTTTTTCAAGATTTTCTGAGAATATCATGAAGAAATTTGATTCACAGGAAGATCATGTTTGTCTCAAAAGAATAAAATCAAATTTTAAAATGGAATTATACATAGAGTCAGATACACTCAGGATTAGAAACACTACAAAAATAATTACATCTATAGATGTCATTTCAAACAACTATGATTTGTCCTCAGTGCTTTTGCTCTCACTTCTTGAAAGCACGGCATAAAAATTTCAATGTAATTTTTTAAAACCAATATTCATCTAATAATTGAATCCAATGTTTTAAAAGTACTAGATTAAAACTCTGTTTAAACCTTAAATATGAACGAAGTCGACGTACATCGAAAAATGCTTGAATTCACCTTGAAAAATTCGACTCAATAAACTTTCCAGTTCGAATGAATCTGTAAATACTCATCTATATCTGTAAGCAATTTTGTCTTTCTCTGTAAATATAATATAGTAATAGTGATTCTATTTCGTAACAAAAATATGTTTTGTTTCTTATTCCTCCTTAGATCTTTATCACAAATCTAGTCACTACTGTGTAGTCCTGAGTTGTTTAAAAAAATAATTGTACTTAGAGTACAATCTCAAACTGGTTTGACGAGAGATTCATATCACCCTGAAGTGCGCCCAATGTATACTTCTTGAAAGGTTTGAGGATTTTAAAATATCTTGAGCCTTATTAAAGAATGCAACTATACCCTCATCATTCCATATGCCATTATTCAATTGAAATACTCTATTAAACTCTATCAAAACTTAATGCATTTAGACACCGCTTAACAATGCGTTGGTTAAAGTTGCTTGGGGGGAGGGGGGGGGGCCTCCGGGACCGTGAAATTCGGATTCCTCGAGGTCGATTCCCCGATTGTCCCCGTGGTCTTGGACTTCGTCCGACCTAAATTAGGATCTAAAAAAAAATAAATACTTAAATTAAAAGACTTAAATTTAAAAAAAATACCGGGCACGGTACTGCCTTGCCACGGAAAAACGCCGTATAAACATTAGAGTGTTGCCTAATTTCCTCCTCAAAAATGATATTTTCATAAATATTTTTCCTTTCAATTTTGATATACAGTAGATGAAACTGCGAATGAAATTCCGAGGAAAATTGGGAGAAAAATATTCATAAGTATTCAAGGAAAATCGCATTTTATGAAAGGAAATTTGTCAACGCAAAATATTACTTAATTTGAAAAACGTTTACATTTTTAAAATTTTGCAAATATTTGCAAAGCTTTTATCAAACTATGGCAACGATATTAATTCCATCGATTCGTGGTTGAAAGAAACCATAGAAAATTGAATAAAAGAGGTGAAAACCCGAAAAGCACGCAATCTTTGGTTTTAACCCATTTGTACATAGATTTTTTAGAGTCAAATATGTTCTATTTAGAGCGTTTGATTCCGCGTGTATCATGCTGCAGCACAGTGAAAGCGCAAACTGTAAAAGAAAAAATTAAAAAGCTTTGGAAATCATTAAATTTATCACGGTACAACCGTAAAACAACACCCACATTATATTTTTCTTTGATAAATATTTTTTTCCATCAATTTAAATGAGAATAATCCATGCAGAGTGTGCAAACATTTCAAAATCATGAATTGAAAATCGCTGACTTCGCGCATTTAAATATTAGAGCCTAACACAGAGCGGAGTAGCATGCCGCTCGTGCCAAACGCGCAGAGGCGCCTACAAACCTAAGGGGATACTTCACGCATTGCGCTATGCTTGAAGTATCCCCTTAGGTTTGTAGGCGCCAATGCGCGTTCCGCGCTGGCTGCCCGCTGCCGCGCCGCGCCGCCGCAACGTGCCACGGTGCTATACTATTCCAGTGACTATTTCACAACAGAGGTGTTGCACAGTATGATACGAAATTAAAGGCGCTCCAGCACATTAAAAATGACATGCATTCTTTAAGAGCACGGAGCTTTCCTCGCAAAATAAATCAATATACTATGACACAAAACGAGAGAGGTAGTTCAAAAACTCATTATGTCCTGACATCCGTATTTAACAACGTTACATAATTTTAACAAATCATTAGAGATAAAAATGACTCGATTTAAGTAGAAACATTTTTAAGTTTGCCATTAAGAAGACTCTGTTTTGGATCGAGAATAAAATCGCTGAACGAAAGCGGGTTTCTGCTTAATGTAACTGACTTTTCTTTTTATATAAGCATGTTTTCTTCTTCACACGAGCAATCTCTCCTTTATTGATTCATAAAGAAATCCTCTCGACAATATGAGCGTATTTCTGCTTGAATCAAAGCGCTTTTTTCCCTAATGAAATTCAAAAATCATGCTAAACGTTATTGAATACGGATACCAGGACTTAATACTTTTTTCGACTACAGCTCTCTTTTTTTAGTAGTCACTCGAATTATTTTGGAGGGGAACTTCGTGCTTTTGAAAGATGCCATCAATCATGATACGTTGGGGTGCCTTCAATCTCGTATGATACAGTGCAATACCTTCGCGCTTCGTGGCGAAATAGTAGCTCGAAGCGCCGCGGCACGCCGGAGCCACGCCGACCGTCGCAAAATTATCGTACACAGGAAAAATCCAAGAGTCTTCAGCTGAGGCAAATCAAAAGGTTTATCCGGCTTAAGAATAACAAGAAGGGAATTTCTTGAGAAATAATTAAGTCCTATTACACCAAAGAGTGGTAGAAAGTTTTAGTGAATTTTGAAAGTTATTTCGAGAATCTCCCATTAAAAGACCGTAAAATACAAATCTCTGTTGGTAACAATATTAATTGAAGAGCTGACATGTTTTTAAACGTGTATCATACGGTTATTTTCAATTCGCCTTCAGCTGCGTCCGCAGCAATTGTTGTTGCGGATATGTTGTGCCTACTGATCTCAGCTCATTACATAGTTGACTCTCTGAAGGCGTTTAATGTGGTGAAGGAGAGCGCCCTTTTGGAGAACCACAGAAGTGAGATTGAATGAATCGCTCAATTCCTACTTCGTTCGTACTCCAACAGATTGCGCTACTTGCGCACATAAAACGCCTTCAGAGAGTTAACTATGTAATTTGCTGAAATCAGCACGCACAACATGTTCATAACAACAATTGCTGAAGACGCAGCTGAAGGCGAATTGTTCAGTTATCAAAAAAAGCATGATAGGAAGTCTGCATGTAACGAGAGGGCATGTATTCGATCGGCATGAATTCGAAAAATAAAAACGTGAACCGATCAACACCGATTCAATGGGCACATAAATAAAAAGGAGGATCAAAATCAGTAGAATACATGCATTTACAATGAAAATTTCAAATTACAATATCTCGAAAAAAGGATCTGCCAAGATTTTGATTTTCCGCGATTTCAAGTCTACACAGTACCATAGACTCATTCCTTGCAAACCGTTTTTGGGTACATTTTTGTAGCATTTCTGGTCGCTCGAAGACCACTTTGTGTTCAAATTCCAAAATATAGCCGTGAAGTGTGAAAAAAACAAATATAAACTTCTGGATTCTTGTTTTTTTAAAGATCTAAAAATTCATCCTGATCAAAACCCGTTTTAAGGAACACCGGGCGTGTGCGATATTTTCAAGGACACTAAAAATACTTTCCTCCGTCTCAACTTAGCCGCCCCTCATTTCAATATAGGAGGGGTCGAATAAACATGCAAACGAGGCGTTTTCAAATTGCATATATACAAAAAAAATGTGCATTTACATGAAAAATGTGCATATACATCAAAAATGTTAGTTGACGCTGAATGTCTAAAAATATATTAACTAACTAACTAACTATTTTATTTTCAGACATTCAGCATCCTAGGCTATTGCCGTCTTTACAAAAAATTTGGCAGATGCATTTACATAAAAAGTGCGCGTATACATAAAAAATGTGCATATAAATGTGCATATACTCGTACATGAAATATGTGCATACACATAAAAAATGTGCATATACATAAAAAACGTGCATATACATCAAAGTGCTGATAACCCGTGAGAATCATCCCTGTCTCAACGTTCAAAAAGGAACTCCTCATCGATCATAAGTCTGACGATTTCAGTTAGGATCTCAGTGACGGCGGCACCCCCTAGTTCTCTTATATTCCGCCTGTAAGTCTTCATAGCCTCCTGTAGTTCCGTTTCGTCCAAATTTTCTGGATCTGGTTGCTCAGGGAATCCATTTCCCCCTTTCCTTCTCATCGCTGAAGCCGGCAAGCAAGCCGCGATGATGTAGTAGGCGTGGACTCCCTTCCTGCGAATGTCTAAATCAACCTCCTCGAAAGATGGCTTCGGTCGGCGGGCGCCTAGCTGACGACACAGAGCGCCTATGGAAAAGGTGAAAATCGTGTTCTCACTACATCGGTAAAATTCAAAAGGAAATTAACCGCAAATTAAATATTCTGGCATCCATTCTCTTTTGACTATCTCTAGAGAACCTGTCGATATAAATACTTGAACGGTTATTACAGATTGAATCATACACACGAAATTTAGCGAGTAGCCCCTCGACGTAGCAACTTCGCTGCTGCCTATAGAGAGAGAATGATAACAATGGACCACTAGACAAGGTATGAATTTCAGCATTCTGATACATGTTTCTTAACCAACATTTCACGTAAAATGCGATGCGCACAGCAAAAATTACCGAAATCAACTCCTTACGAAGATATTTAATGATTCTTGATGCGTGAATTCAAACCATCCGCTCATGAAAACTCAATGCTCTACGTGATTCTCATCGCGCGCTAAACGTTTATCATGATAATCTCTGCGATATAAAAATCTGGCAACCTCAATCTTGACGGTTTGGCTCAGCTATAGCAAATTTCTTGTGGTTTGAACAACACATGATGGGAAATGAACATTGCTCGATTGAGAAGCTTGCTGAAACCGTTGTAGTGCGCGATTTGACTCAAGTAGAGCTTTGAGTTTCTTGTGAGCGGGCAGTGCAAATTCCTCGTAACCAATGTGAAATAAAAACGTTAATATCTTCGTTAGGATTAAAACAATGAACGAAACTAAAAAACAGCGAACCGATTAAATCAACTAAGGCTAAAATCAAACTAAAAAACTCAGATTCGCTTACGTCTTCGTTAGGAGTTGGTTTCAGTAATTTTCGTTGCACGAATCGTGTTCTACGTGAAATTCTGGTAAAGGAACATGTATCAGATTGCTTAAATTCGTACCTTGTCTAGTGGTCCATTGTGCTATTCAATGTCTATGTTATGGCTGTTGCTATGTTATGCCTAACAGTGATTCCGCCAGCCACCCTATAATTGATTAACCATTTTGTATCTATATTCATTATTCCTCTAGTGATATTTCTATTTTCTTTTGATGTAAATTTTTAATTCTGTAATACCGTTATTGGATGGCGAATAAACAAAACAACACAAAAACACAAATTGCGCTGTTCTGCATTATTTGTTTCTTCAGATATGGTCATTTCGCGCACAGTTTAGTAAGTCAGCGAGTTTGAAAAGAAAAAAATTGAATGGGAGTTTTGCGCGACGATAGGGAAAATTCAGGAAAAAGTCACGTTATTTGGAAATGAAAAAAAATTATGGGCTGCGCGCATGGGCTCACCATACTGCCGTGCTAAGGAAGAACGCCGTATGGACATTCTAGAGTTGCCAAATTTCCCCGAATAAAACATGTATTTTTGAAGAAAGTTATGCATCTTTCTCATGGAAATTTTCCAACTTTTTAGATAAAATTACGCACAAAATCCTCCGAAAAATTGGAGAAAAAATATTCACAAATTTTCCTGAAAACAAGTGATTTGTCGAAGGAAATTTGGCAACGCCTGAAGGCTCATACGGAGTTTTTCTTCAGGGCGGCAGTGTACCGACCCGTGGCACAGCTACCTGTGGACGAGTGGAATGAGTCTTTGAAACTTGTGTTTTCTATTTGATATTCTGAAAGTACCATGTGATTAGATTACATGGAGAAATTTTACATATTTTTGGAGCCAAAATCGCGCTTTCAAAAAGTCCGAAAACACGACGGAATTTCAAACGCGCAAGAGGCGGGAAAATGATGGAACTTATGTACTACAGCGGTCCAATCCTTTATCATTTTTCACTGATGATTGTTACAATAAAGCAAAAACCAATTTGAAATTGTCGCTTGTCAACTATACATAACATGAACGAGATTCGAGTCTTTGATTCTGAAGGTATAGTTTCTACTTTCCTACTGTTTTCATGTACAAGGAGTAGAAAAATATCTGACAGAAGATGTAGAAAACCATATTCACTTCCCAAAATTATGAGCTTTTTGGTCAACATCATTCTAAAAGGCCACTCACAATGGATACAGAAGAGCGCCTTCAAATCAATCCGTAAACATAATGCAAAATTCTGATACCACTATTCGTGCGTCACGCCAGTCGTATTGCATACCCCGCCATTTGCAGGCGAATCATTGACTTCAGGCAACGGGGTACGAATTAAACCTTCGTTCGATGGTCAAATCGAATACCGAAGAAGGGGCGAAAGTCAGCCCTTATTTTGGGAGGCTCTTTGCGGAAAAGTTGCGCTTTTTGATCTGCGTGTTTCTCAGTTTCTGAGTTACTTTTTTGGATTTTTTATGTGCGCATCGTGTCCTATGCGTCATTTACCTGCAGAGATATGTATTCGCAAGTCAGAATTTGCCCATGGTGTAGTGATCCATCGGTAACCGAGACGAGTAACTTTGCGGAGCTGGTCATCTTAGTGGGACACATTTCTGCCAAACGGAACTATGGACAGGTGGGAACGATGGGGTGTACTCAAGAACGCTGGATAAGAAACAACGTATATTTAAGTGGACGCGATTCACTCTGAAGAAACTAAAAAGCGGGATTTTACATTCTGTCAAACGGGACTATGCTGCCGTCCTAAGGAAGAAAGCCGTATGAGCCTTCAGGCATTGCAAAATTTCCTTAGATAAAACACGACTTTCCCGTTAAAATAATGAAAATTTTCCTTCAACATTTTCAGATAATTTTGTTCGCAATTTCATCCGAAGTTCCTGAAAATCTCGGGGAAAAATAATCATAAATTTCCCCTTAAATAAACATTTTAGTGGAAGAAATTTGGCAACTCTCGAATGTTTATACGGCAATCTTCCTCAGCACGGCGGTATGTGCCGAGTGAATGCGGCATTCATGAGCCATGGGCATGTGACAAGAGTGTCGTGGACAAGACTCATGAGTTAAAGACTCCCACGCACGCCGCGTCGTCACTGATGTCACTGGCGCTTCATGATTCCCATTCATGCTTAAGACCCTCGACTAGCGAGCAAACCCCTTCTTTCCCACCTCTCTTTGGCTCCGTTCGGCAGAAACGCGTCCCATTTTGGTGAAAGCGGTGGTTAAAAGGCGATGAAATCATAGAGTACATAGAGTCGTAATGTAATTGGGAGAGCTGACGCCACTTTTAAGCATTTTCCATGTCCCGAATTCCGAGACTCCTGTGTGACGCCGGGTCACTTTTTCGATACATAATCGATCGTTTGCGATACACGGGTACCCGGCCATCCGATGACAACAACAACAGCAACAAAGGAGATAGGAATTACCACGTATTCCACACCGCCATTTTTGATCGAAAATGTATCAAAAAAGCGACCCGAACTCGGCGCACACCGGGCTCGGAATGGACCACTAGACAAGGTACGAATTTCAGCATTCTGATACATGTTTCTCAACCAAAATTTCACGTAGAACACGATACGCACAACGAAAATTACCAAAATCAACTCCTGACGAAGATATTTAATGATTCTTGATGCTTGAATTCAAACCACCCGCTCATGAAAACTCAATGCTCTACGTGATTCACATCGCGCGCTAAACGTTTATCATGACAGTCTCTGCGATGTAAAAATCTTCAACTTCAATCTTGACACTTTGCCTCAGCTATAGCAAATTACCAATAGTTTGAACAACACATGGTGGAAAATGAACATTGCTCGATTGAGAAGCTTGCTGAAACCGTTGTAGTGCGCGATTTGACTCACGTAGAGCTTTGAGTTTCTTGTGAGCGGGCAGTTCAAATTCCTCGTAATCAGTGCGAAATAAAAACGTTAATATCTTCGGTAGAAGTTGATTTCGGTAATTTTCGTAGTGTGAATTGTGTTCTACGTGAAATTCTGGTTACGAAACATGTATCGGATTGCTTAAATTCGTACCTTGTCTAGTGGTCCATTCGTCGAGCAGAACATGGCGCCAGCTCTCCCATTTACATTACGACTCTATATACTCTATGGATGAAATCCACAAACCATAGTACTGATGCAGATGACCGCTCCAATGATTCCGTTTCATCTCCGGAGGCAGGTTATCGAACAGCACATGACATACATCGATGGCGGGCGAGCAGACTTTTATCATGCCGAAATCGAAGAAGGCGACGTCGACTGGTGTGCCATCGGCGCCGTACTTGAACATCATGTTGCCCAAGTGTATATCCCCGTGAGCCACCACGGGTAAAGGCCCTGCGGCGGCCGCACTCTCTTCAAATCGCGCCTCGGCATTCTCCAGGGTTGCGCACAAATCGGTCAAGCGGTCCCTATATTTGGGCTCTCTCTGCAAAGGCTCCACGCCTCGAAACAGACACTCTTTAAAAATCTGAAATACAACATCACTGGTATCTTTAAACATACTTGGAGATCTCTCACGGATCATAGAGTCCCTTTATACTGAGAGTCAAGACAATGTGAATCCATTTCTGATTGGTTAACCGGATTTTAGGCCTTCACAGTGTCACAAACGGGAACAAAGATTACATTTTCACCAATTGCAAAGATTATAATCTGGAATAGACCGAGGAATTTCGGGTTCGACAAGGAACAAACGGAATGAAAGAAGGAACGGAGAGAGGAATTTAAGAATGAGCCTATCAAAGATTACGAAAAACGTTCAATTTCTGTAATTTTTATTCCCGTTTGTGACTCCATGAGGGGTATTGTCTTGACTCTCAGTATAAAGGGACTCTAACGGAACATAGGGACAAGGCGCATGAGTGCAGTTTTAGAAAAAATTGAGATATTGATGATTTCAAATGAAACTACACAGTCTTAATGCATATTCTGTGAAACATCATTATAGGTCAAAATAGAAAACTAATTCATCGCTCAACTACTGTTGAGGCTTCACCAAATACACTAATATATCTCAAAGACATTACATTCATATTTCTTGCGGAAAATGCACTAGAAATGAAACAGCAGGGTACAGTAAAAGCCCATTTGTCGCCTATTGGTGTCCGGAAGTCAAAGTACTTAACATTTACGATCTATTTTTCGGCTCAAAATATGATTTTATATGAAGATAAAATATGACAATATGTGAGTAGATCGTGCGCACGCTCCTCCCTCCGTTCGCCCGAAAAAGGAGGAAGAAAAAGGAAACAAAGCAAGCAAGAAGGAACGGAGGCCAGAGGAAAGAAGGATGCTTAGATATGGTAGTTATTCATAGCGAAATTGACTCAAGCTGCGTATTAGATGCTTTAAAATTTTCTGGAAGGACCCCCCCCCTTCCCCCCAGACCCCTCTTGCACCCCAATCCTTTCGAAGTGTCTGGACTCGCTTATGTAGACAACAAAATCATCGAGGGATTTATTACCTCTTTGCATTCAATACTACAAAACTTTCGAAAAAGCTCAGCTTCATCAAAATTTTTTATTTCGGCTGTTACTTCTTCAAAATCAGCCGGGTCTTCCCTTCGCCATGCCATTGATAATCCGTGGAATCCGCCCAATCTATCTGATATAAGCGCCAGATGGTTGTCATCTAAAACTGTGGCCCTTAATCCTCTTTTCTTTTCACTTTCCCTTGCTACGTATGGCTGGAAATCTCTCTGACGAAGATCCTTCAGGATGATAAAGTCCTCCTCAGAATTTTGGCCGTCGGTAGCTCTTCCGCACACGAAATCCGGAAAACTTGCGGACAAGATGTCGTATTCGTCGTATTTCCGGAGAGAAGGCACGATCTTCGAGTAGAATAACACCTCGTTGTGGAACATAGCATCCAAAAAAGTTTTGGACGGAAAGCCACCCCTGCTACTCCTGCGAGAAAAATGGACAGTGTCGAGCGCTGAATAAATAATTATATTTAAACATGCTTGGAGAAGCCGCGAAAAATATAAACAAAAATAAAATTAAAAGTAAGAAAAAGAAGTAGATTTCTAATCATTATGCTGTCATTATTACATTTTTTCATTTTTTTTATGCTCTGATGATGGCATAAGCCGAAAGGCCTCATGAAAATGTAATAAATAAAAAAAATGGCATCACAATGGTTAGAGATCTACTTATTTTTATTACCTTTATTTTTATATACGGGGTGTAACAAAAGTCCGTCCCACCCCATAGTTTGGTGAGGCAATAGTTTAGTTTGGAGGTCAATGCTACTTTCCGCCCAATGGTGATTTCGTCCCCCTCCTGACATACGGGTGTAACTACTCTCTCCGGTGAACCCTACCGTCCATACAACTTACTGCTTCCCCGGGCTCATCTCAATTTGTAGTTACGCCCTAATGTCAGCGAAGCGACGATTTATATGAGCATGAAATTTGCCTTATGATGACTAGTGAATGTTAGGGTGAGCACGTTGCTAGGAATTTTTTTTTAAAAATTAGGTTAAGATAAACCAATTGCTCAAAGTTTTAGTCATGAATCGTCATTAGGCGAATTTGAACGTTGCTTTTCGGGAGTATCTTTTACATTATGGGTAAAATAGCTGTGCCGGGTCTCTTGAATACATTGCCTCTAGAAAAAACCACACTTTTTCTAGGTAATGAGATACTGGACAGTGTTAGAGATAAGGCACTGCAAGATGTTTTCCTTTAAAATTTCGCTCAGAGCAAACTCAACATACTCGATGAGTTCAAAACCAACTAATACAAGAAAAATGACTCCTTATCTTATAAAAAATCCTGATTCAAAAATCAGTAAACTGAAAATTTATGTTGGAGTTGTTTAGGCAACGTTTGTTCAATTCAGCATAAAGCTGATATCTCACTACAGAGGAAAAAAATTCACACACAAACACAATTTTCCCTCCAAGAGATACGCTGTTTGGTGCAACGCGAGTAACAAACGTTAACAAACTGTTTTCTTAATAAATACAGCTAATGTATTGTAAAACCTGCTATTCGTTTTTACGATGACTGGCACTTCAAAACGTAGGCCTGCTTTATTCTCCACGAGGACATCACCAAAAATCGTATCCGAGCAGAAGTAAGGTGTGCCTGGGCGGCTCATCACTTTGAAACGGATGAATTTTTCCACGTCATCCCCAAAGCAACCACCTTTCACTGCTTCCGGGAATATAACAGTATTCAGCTGTTCCTCTAGGTCCATTTGATCAAGTGATAAAAGTTCCTGAGAAAACACCTCATTCAATACGATTTCAAAAGTAAATGGGCATAATATGTAAATCACTTTTATTGAGGAAGATAAACCACATCAAGATCAGACTCAACTTCGTATCTAGGTATTTCTTTTTGTATTATTTGAATGGCCGTAAGATAAACTCAGAGGAGTTTTAATTGGTACGAATAGAACTGACTTGTTTAAAAGGATCAAACTTTGTTGTCAAATAATAAATCAATATTTTATAAATGTACTTTTTTTTTATCTAAGTCGTTCCTCTGTGAAACCATCATTAGGTCCTCAATTTTTTAATTTTTTTTTTTTGACATCTTATGTTGGACTGTATCTTTCGTCTTCACGTCTTTGGTTAGTAAGTAAATGATTGATTGTGCCGTGGTATCGCTTTTGAAGCGGGAAGCTCAAAAAACGCAAATTTCTTTCGCAGATCATGAAGTTAGGAGTGCATTATAAACTTTGCCAATGCGCTTATCGTAATTTTTAAGACAATTACTGATAGAAACAACTCTTATTTTAGCTCTCGCAAAAGTTTATGCAACAGGCCCATTGTCATAGTAATGCCTGCCAACTATCTACGCTTCTTCTCCACATTCTACGGCAAAAAATTGTAAATTTAGACTTTGAAAGGGACGTTGTGCAATTATTGTCACGGTAAATGTAGAAAAGTACCTAAATTACTTTACATATCGACGGTGAAACTACCAAACCACGTATCTCGTTTGCGGTGTTTAAAAATCTACGCTCACATTTTATTTTTTTGAAGTAAACCAAATCAATATCATTCCTTGAAATTTTCACGGAATTTTCTCCGCACAAAGAGGAAAAATCACAGAAATTTTCAAGAATGGATGTCAAGTAGTTTTTCATTAAAAAAATAAAGTATGACAGGAAGTCTGCGACGTCGCAAACCGAGATACGTGGTTTGGTAGTTTCACCGTCGATATACTTTAGTACATTATACTTTCATTATTCGAACCTTCAAGAAACGTTTTGCACGGGAGGTAAAGTTGGTACTTCCTACGATGAGCTCGGTCCGTTACTACCCATCTCACAAAAATACTCATTCCAAATTGCACCACACTCTGACAACCTAGCTGCGAGTCGCCAGAAAATATAAATACAAATTTTATAAATATTTTTGCAGAGAATAAATTAAAAGAGAGGAAAATATATTACAAGGATAAGAAATATCTTTAGAGAAATGAAAATTATATAATAAGAGGAAAATACAATAGGGGAAAAAATATATTCAGAAAAAATATATAAATACTGAAAGAAAAAAATAGTAGGGAGAAATAGTTTTTAAAGTGGAAATTTATTTTATAATCTACTTACCCAAACGGCGGCCCTTATATAGCGCCAAGTAAAGGGACTACGGAGCTAAATTATTTGAAAAACAAAGTTGTAGCTGAAACTGTAACCACTGAAATTTAAAAAAATTCAACATCGCGTGTGTCAAGGACTGAACTTTCCAATTTAAAAAATAAAAATAGGAACATAGTCAATAAAACACTGTCAAAAACCGAGAAATTAGCCATCAATGATTCGTGAACTGGGATTGCAGATAAGGCTTTGATGTTTTAATTTTGGTAGCTCGTACCTATCACAGGTTTAACGATAAGATGACCATGCTCAATAGCGAGATATCTCAGTTGAGAGCACAGACGCAAATCATTATCGTATGCTGTGTCGAAAAGAGAAGCGATCAACTACAAGTAGATTCGATGGTTTTAAGTGGTTTCACTTGAAATCATAATCGGTTACTGCTTCGTTTTCTTTTCTTTTTGTCTAGAAGAAAGGTCCCCGAGGTAACTTACTTTTCCTCTTCACAAATTTGTGAATGGGTCTGTTGCAAAATTCAGCTTGAGCCCAAAGGATAGTTAATTCTCATTTTAAATGGCTCAAAAATCACGATGAGCGCATCGTGAAAGTCTTAAATACTCCTAACTTCACAATCTGCGTTAAAATTATGCGTTTTTTAAACTTCCCGCTTCAAGAGAAATACCACGGCACAGGTGAACATTTCTTGAGAGTAGAGTCCCTTTATACTGAGAGTCAAGACAATTCGGCTCATGGATGTCACAAACGGGAATAAAGATTACAGAAATTGAACGTTTTTCGTAATCTTTGATCGGCCCATTCTTAAATGCCTTTCTCCGTTCCTCCTCTCATTCCGTTTGTTCCTTGCCGAACCCGTAATTCCCTGGTCCATTCCAGATTATAATCTTTGCAATTGGTGAAAATGTAATCTTTATTCCCGTTTGTGACACTGTGGAGGCCTAAAATACGGGAACCAATCAGAAATGGATTCAAATTGTCTTGACTCTCAGTATAATGGGACTCTACTTGAGAGGAGTCGTTCCATCCAATCCTTGGATGCTACACAATATTCAGCCTGGCTGACGCTTCCGGCGCAAATCGTGAGGAAAAACCACGGTCTCAATCATCGCAAGAGGAATGTAAATATCAACCCGCAAGTTGATAAAGTTCCGTCCTGTCACGTGTGTTACGGCGGATTGGCGTCGGCCATGTTGAATTGATTGCGTTAAATCCTAATGCGTAAGTAGAATACCTATATTGAGAGAGTATAGCCACTGAGGTTACCACCTCTGATTGGCTCAGCCATCTTAGGCTGAATGGAGCCCTTAGGACCCAAAAATGGCGGACGCCATAAAGTTAATGTAATGCAAAATGATTCAAAATGTAGTTGTCTTTGCTTATCGTAACGAGAACTTTACCCAAATGCACTATTGCGACTTTTTTACATATTTTTAAGGCTAATCGTGTGCAATTTTTGAGAAAAATGATCTTAGATGTAGTAAGGTTGGCAGCAAGTGCGGTTGGTGATAACCGTCAAAAGTTGGCAATGACCCCCCTCCCATCCTCAAAAACCAAAACAAAGCACCGCCATTTTTGGGTCCTAAGCCTCTCCATGGGGCCCAGTGGCCATACTCTCTCAATATAGGTACTCTATGCGTAAGGGTTGAATGTAACGACTCCTCTTACGAAAGGTTCGTCTGTGTCGTAGTGTCGTTTTTGCAGCGGGAACTTGGAAAACTGCATTCCTTACGCAGATTGTGACGTTAAGAGTGTATCTCAGACTTTCCCGTTCCGCTTACCGTGATTTCTGAGTCGTTTCCTGTAATACTGCCTCTTCTTTTTGCCCAGCTGAAGTTCGCAACAGGCCCATTATCTTACCATAAAAACTGTTCTACATTTTTCTCCTGCAAGTTTCCTCTTAAATTAAAAAAAATTGATTTTTTTTTTTTTTTTTTTTGATGAAAAATATTTATATTCCGATACATTGATTCATCGGAATCGTAAGAGATGATACACAACTCAACGATGAGATCCGATCAGGGAAAGTCGGGCCTCAACAAAGAAAATAACCCAGGCTGGCAGTAATCAATCCTTCAAGGATTGAAATAGTTGTCTCGTCAGTATTAAAAATTGTTTCATGTATTGAAATTGTTGTTAAAAAAAATATATTTATATTTACACGCTGAATATTTGGCAGAGGTATTTGTCTTATAGAGTGTTCCAAAAGTTCCGCTTCCCCCTCTAACTTTTGAACGGTTATGGATAGAAAAACGAAACTTTGGGAATGTTTCTAGTCCTCTGAGAGGATGAGACTGAGTTGATAAGTCAAAGGTCTTTTACGATAGGTTTCGCTATAAAATATACTTTATACACACATACTAAGTATAATCATGAAAATGATACTTAATTAATCTCAACGATCCGTGGTTTAAAGAAACTATACACTAATGAATTAAGGGAAGAAGAAGCACGCAATCTTTGGTTTTAACCCATTTGTACATCGTCTTTTAGAGTAAAATACGTCTAATTTTGAGTGTTTGGTTTCGCGTACACCATGCTGCAGCACAGTAAAAGCACAAATTATAAAAGAAACTATTAAAAAGCTTTGGAAATCATCAAATTTGACACGGAACAACCTTAAAATTTACAAAACACATATTATATTTTCCTTAAATACATATTTTTTTTTCATCAGTTTAAATGAGAATAATCCATGCAGAGTGTGCGAAAATGTCAAAATCATGAGTTGAAAATCGCTGACTTTGCGAGTTTAAATATTAGAGCCTAACACATAGCGGAGTTGCGTACTGCCCGTGCCAAACGCGCACAGGCGCCTACAAACCTAAGGGGATACTTCACGCATTGCGCAACGCTTGAAGTATCCCCTTAGGTTTGTAGGCGCTGGCCGGCCGGCCGCCGCGCCACGGCGCCTCAAGCAACTATTTCACAACAGAGGTGTTGCACAGTATCATAAGAAATTGAAGGCGCTCCGGCATATTAAGAATGGCAGGCATCCTTTCAGAGAACGGAACTTTCCTCGCAAAATAAATCAAGATACTACGGCACAAAAGAGAGCGGTAGCCCAAAAACTCACTAAGTCCTAACATCTGTATTTAATAAAATTTAGCATAGTTTTAGAATTTCATAAGAGAAAAAAATGACTCGATTTAGGCAGAAACATTCTTGGGTATGCCATCAAGATTCTGTTTTGAATTAAGAATAAAATCGCTGAAAGAAAGCTCATTTCTGCTTCACATAACTGACTTTTCTATTTATATAAGCCTCTTTTCTTTTTTACACAAGCATTCTTTTCTTTATTGATTCATAAAGAAATCTTCCCAGTGGTAAATGCTCAAATCAAAGCACTTTTTCCTCTAATGAAGTTCAAAAATCATGCCGAATACAGATATTAGGACTTAATACGTTTTTCGACTACCGCTCTCTTTTGGTAGTCGTGATTTGAATTAATTCCTCCACATCATTAAAAATCTATGTCATATTAAGACATTTAGAGGAAAGTTTCGAATTCATAGAATGATGGAAATGACGTTTTGGGATATAGGTCGGAGCCATGTCGTGGAAGTCTCCAAAGGACTTTTTCAAGCACTGGGAACGCTACACACCCTATAGATTCGGACCCTGAAAACCGTTTTTGGATGCATTTTCGTCGCATTTTTCTTTTGCTTCAAGAGCAGTGTGGTATTAGCGCTTCTCTAGTCTTGGTGGGTAGTTCAGGACTCCCGCCAAGAGTGAAAGTTTGTGAGTGGGATATTTTACTTTGCATTTAAACTCAGTTTATACTTTAATTTATGTTGAGAAGTTTTTTTAGATTCTCCAAGGAAAGGACCGTAAAATAAAACTCTCTATCGGTAACAATATTAATTAAAGAGATAGAAACAATTTCTACGTATATTATACGGTTGATTTCAATTTGCCTTCAGCTGCGTCCGCAGCAATTGTTGTTACGAATATGTTGTGCGTGCTGATCTCAGCTCATTACATACTACTACCACTCTGAAGGCGTTTAATGTACGAAAGTAGAGCACCCCGCTGGAAAACAACAGAAGTAAGATTGAATGGATCGCTCAATCCGTACTTCGTTTGTTTTCCGACAAATTGCGCTACTTTTTTTTTTTTTTTTTTTTGCTTCAAGAACACTGTGTTTAAGCGCGTTATTCAGCCAAATCTGAGAGGGATAAAATTTGTCGGAGGGAAGGAAAATTCACGGAAGAGGAGTGACATTTCAAATGATCTCCGACAATTCCCTTAAATGAATCAAACTTGGATTAAAGTGCCCCCTTAAGGGTCTTTAATATGCAGTTTCAAATTTTTTGAGGTAACCAAGGAGACATTCAAAGATGCCATTGAGTATTGTAATTACTTACTCTTTTAAAATGGAAATTCTCACTGATAAAATAATCGTTTTTTAATTATTGGCGCAAATTGAGAGCTCTCTTTGCACATACTTCAGACTTTCGAAACCCGCAAATCGCGGAGAGCTTCGTGTCGATTATGATATGTAAAACTGGATTTGCCACCCGTTTAGTCACACTTTTTTCTCTTTTAATTTTAACCTCCCGAATATCATGGATGCGCCGAACATAAAAATCGAATAAATGGCAAATAACAGTGCAAAACTAAAAACTAATATCACAGATATAATATCTAAGCAGAAAAACTGGAACAGATTTGTGTCAGCGGTTGCTGGTCTGAGATGTTGTGCGCCACCGTGTTTGGCCACATGTTCCACCCAAAACACCGCCTTGTTTAGTGCTTGAGATGAGAAGTCACGGGAAATGGCCGAATATCTTCTCATGTTATGTGCGTAGCTAGAACATCAAGGAAAATTGTGTAAACTCGCTGAAATCACGATCAGTACTTGGAGTGGAGACTTTAAAACTAAAATATTTTTTAGTCGAGGAGCATTTTTTAGTGTAAAAAATGCAAAAAGTAAAAAAAATTGGCACATAACACAGACAAGATCAGTTTTTTAAATGTCTAGTTACAAGAGTGATAATTCCAATCTGCTGAACAGTTCGTCTTGTTTCAAGGACAAAGTGAATATTTGGAAAAAAATTCAAAAGAACAAAAAAAAAAAACAAAACAAAAAAAAAAACAAAAAAAACAAAAAAAAAACATTAACCAGGAAACGAATGAAAGATGACACCCGCCATTTTTAATCCTTCGAGGAAAAGGGGGGGCAACTACTTTCATGAATGAGGTGAAAAATGTCAGATTTGTGCGCGCCAACGCTAGCTTCCATTCACATTATTTCTAGCAAAAATTGGGTTTAAGTAGCATACTGTTGAAAAATGGGTGAACTACTTTATGAGGCTAATATACGCTGAACATTTGTAGACTCTCAGCCAATGAAATGTTTATAACCATTCATGAGTTGTAGCCGCACTCCTCTTAACCGAAGATAGGCAAAATGTTCACAGATCTGATCATTATCACATAATTTTTAATGTGTTTCTCAATATAGCTCAAATTTTAAATCAAAATTGTCCCTCCTAGATGGAACTCCTTCATCTCACCGGTAGAAGATATATTAAGCTACATAAATACGTTGAGGTTGAGGTTGCTTGCACCAACCTTTCATCGTATAAAACTGTTTTGAGAGCCAGTTCAACTTTTCCATACTCGTGTAGCTCCTCAAGCAGCAGTTGAACTCCAATCTTCGCATCTACCATTTTGGCGATATTAGTTCTCTGATCCCAGAAATAAGGAATCCCAATCGTTGGAACACCGTAGTGAACGGCCTCGTGAAAGCTCTGCAATCCTCCTCTGGTGATAAAAACTTTTAGGTTTGGATGAGCTGTTGAAATATATCTGATCATTAATTTTGAGCAAAAAAAGATCTAATTATATCAACGGCAAAACTACGAAAACGCGTTTTTCGACTGCGGTGTCTCTCAATCTCCACTCCTATCTCATTTTTTTAAAAGGAGGCCGAACTAAAAGTTTACCTTGCATTTTCACGAAATATACTAGTGAAAATAATCCCCGAAAGTTCAAGAAATGATATGAGTATTAGAAATTGAAAATAAGTTATGGCCGGAGGTCTGCAATGCCGGAAATCGAAATGCGTGTTTCAACAGTTTCACTGTGGATAAGAAAAAAAGAACGGTTCTCCATTGAGACAAAATTTACGTCAGAATGATTTTAGTCTAGCTGAATAAAAAATCGTATTTTGAAATTTTGACGGAAAATTCGGAAGTTTGTTGTTCATGTTTACATAAAAATCAGCCAAATCAAACGTTTCTCTCACGAAGATTAGAAAATCAAAATCAATGTAGCTCAGATCGGTCATTGAATACAAACTTATCAATTGAAAAATTACACGAGGATTGATTCGCAATAAAAATTCCCCTCTCCCTTTATAGCACTGAATGCTCTTTTAGATATATGAAGGAAGTTGCTTAATCAGAGGGTACATTGAAATTAGGTTGATGCTCGGTTTGATTCTGGTATAGAGATTTTTCTTTTAAGCAAGCGAGAAGTTCGAATTTATCAACACAAAAAAACTGATTCCTCACTGTCGGTTGAATTTTTGAAATTTCCAATGTGATGAACTTCTTTTGCCTAAAATTATTTCGATGAGAATATGCATGATTGTATTCACAATGCTAGGCCTCTAACATGCTTTATAAGTTCAGTGTGATGTTTTTGCCATCTTAATGTGTAGAGAGAGAGGTGACTGACCTAAAACACTATCCTGTGGCATCCATTTTTGTGTCAGTATGTTATCAGATTGTCCGGGGATTTGTCCATCCTCCTCCCATTTCCACAATACGCGATATCCCGATGGTAATTCTTTGAAGAATCTCAAAAAGTTGTTCCTCGCATCATCGGACAAATATGTAGTTTTAAAGAAACTCCCCAGGCTGAAATAAATCACGCCTTTTTCCGCACCATCTAACCAGTCTTTCAAAATCTGGAAACAGTAACACTTTTGAGAATCTCAGAAAAGTCTTAAAAATCCAGCCATGAACATCTTCACGGGCAAATTTTCTGTTGACAAAAACCTGACTGTAAATGGTGACTCTCCGTACCTCCCTTAACAGCAAAAATTTTTCCCCGAATCCTTCCCTGGAGCTAGGGGAATCCCGCAGTCGCAGGCGGACCCTCCTTAGCGGAGTGTTTTTTGTGCTCCCCCCCCCCCCCCCCCCCGACCCCCTTGTTTAGGTCCCCTTCTGCCCCCCACTGAAAATTCTCAGTTCCCCCCATGAGACTCTAAAGGGCCGTGAGCCACGGGATAAAATGCGGCTGAGGGTAACAACTACCTTTTTTTATCCTAAGCCGCCTTTTTCTTTGCTCGGTTCAGGTCTCAAATTTTTGCTTGCTTCAGAACGATCATCAATCAATTTTCAATTATCAATTTTCTTACCTTCGGCAGTTCCGAGGGAGGCCTAAGATGAAGAGGCCCCACCTGAACAATATTTGGACCCAGAGCTCTCGGATAAAAATATAATGGATTGGAGGTCAACATTAGTAGACTGATATCCGTCCAGCATCTGTCGACGAGACTTTCAATTTCTGAGCCGTATGTTTCCCTGAAAAAACGCCTAGCAGTATTCCCGAACACGCTCTCTTGTGTATAGGAACCGTATAAGTATGAGATCCAATTTTGAATTCTTTCCTTGAGGTCCATTTTGTCAGTCCCGAATGTGAATAGGGAAGCGTGCGCAGAAGATATGCTGCCGAGGTAATGTTCGGCGTTTGCTGTATTCAGAGATGACATGGATACGATCGGAACTGCTTCATCGAGAAGTCGTGCCATCGTATAAGTAAAAGGCATGATCCATTCTTCCACGATGGCCACATCGAACTTAAGTTTTTTCGAGTCCACAAGTCTGAAACAACGCAATGATAGAGAACCAGTATTGCGCCTCACCATTAGTTAAATCTCGATTAAATATATAGATACATATATCGACGGTGAAACTACCAAACCACGTATCTCGGTTTGCGACGTCGCAGACTTCCTGTCATACTTTATTTTTTAAATGAAAAACTACTTAACGTCCAGTCTTGAAAATTTCTGTGATTTTTCCTCTTCGCGCGGAGAAAATTCTGTGAAAATTTCAAGGAATGATATTGATTTGGTCTACTTCAAAAATATAAAATGCGAGCGTAGATTTTTAAACACCGCGTATCTCGGTTTGCGACGTGACGGACTTCCTGTCATACTCTATTTGGACCACATTTTGCAATTAGGATAGGAACTATAAATTCCGGCCCGGTTTAAAAACAACGTATGTGCTATTAGTTTCCCTATGCACCTAAGTGTTTTTTCAGATGAGCCAGGATTTATAGGTCCAAATTGCGAAATTCAGTCCATTTATGAGATAGAAAACTACTCAACGTCAATGTTTGCAAAATCCATGGTCTTCAGGGCCTTCCAACTGGACAAGGCCTTACACTTATAAGAAATGAACGAAACAATTATGAAAGAACTAACATAAATGTGGTTTAATAATTTTAACTTCCGCCGCCGCGCTGACCGCACGGTGTTTGGCGCAATGTGTGAAGTATCCCTACAGTCTTGTAGGCGCTATGCGTTCCACGCCGCGCGTCGCGCCGTCCGCTGCAGAACGCACTGTGTTTGACGCAATGCGTGAAGTATTCATGCAGTCTTGTAGGCGCTGATATGCCGATCTCCGCGTCGAGGCGGGCAAGGGCTTCTCCTTTTCATCTCAAGTCCTCGTCATCATTCCTCTCTGCGCCGCGCCATTCCAGGCCAAATTGCGTGATCGGTTTCTCTCTTAACTCGACTAATAAAAGGTGGTGTCTCTTGTATCACCGAGAGACGACAAAATTAGAAATTACTATACTCTCAGGAAATCAGAGATTTTGTCGGCTATTCTAGTTTGTAATTTTTTTTTCTGAATCCGATTTTTTCTTATACCTAAATGTAAAAAAATTGCAAAATTTGCCGCCATGGGCCGCGGCCCATGTGGCCACCCCCTAAATAAGGCCCTGCACGTGTTACGATCCTGCTTTATTTCTTAAGCACATATTCCTTGACATTTCAAAAGGAATTTTCAAATGAGATTTTTAGATAGGTAAAGGTGGTTCACAGAGAATTTAGGGCGAAAGCGATCATCAGCTTGCCTTAAAAATATTAAAGTTTCTAAAAAGTGGTTGCGTACTTTCACCTCCAAAGTGCATAGTGTGAGCAATGACGGCTGACTTTGGTGTGCGTAAGTAAACAAACTTCATACTGAAATATCTACATGAGCTAATCACAAATTTTCGAATACTTACTTTTTGAACTTTGTGAACGGCTTGCTGAGGAACTGCCTCACCGTTGCGTCGGCTGACAACGAGAATGTTCTGTTTAATTCCCATAATGTACGTTGGCGTTGTGTGTTTTTCATGATTTTGTCCAAAGTTTCATAGCGCACTCGATATGATATGTCAACGAAGGTGTAGTTGCCAAAATTCACCAGTCCCTGCCATCATAACACATTCTCGATTAGTTTGCCGATCTACAGGCACAATTTGACTTATTTCTGCCTAACGGAACTAGAAGTAGGTGGGAAAGAAGGGGTGCGCCCGTTAGTCGAGGGCCGAAAGAATTAATGGGAATTGTAAAGCGCCAGTGACGTTAGCGGCGACGAAGCCGCTGCACAGTGTGACATCCTTATGGACGATGCGGACAAAAATCGGTAAAAGACACTTAACTTTAAATAATGAAAATGGTAGCACCGACATAGGAAAACCCTTTGGCACTATCAAAGTAAAACACTCGAGGAATAAGAAAATGTAATTTCTCAAGATTTTTTGAGTATTTTTCGAGAAAAGTTCATTTGAAGTTGGCGACCTCGAATCAGCACTATGTTAACAATGCAAAAGCAATGCAAGAAAACCAAAACTTAAACTTCAAATATCTCTGATAGTCGCGAAAAGTCGCAAGATCTTCTTGGTAGAATTGAAAAGGGATATTTGAGGATTAAGAAAACGTCAACCTCGCAGAGCATTTTGCGATTTAAGCGAGAAATCTTCCTTTGAAGTTAACGTTTTTTCCCCGTGTGTTCCTCATGGGCCAGTGATTCTTGACCCATTTCTCGCCCAAATTCGAAGTAATTTTGAGCGAAAAATTTGAGAATGAACCATCATTGCGAGTCAGAAATGTATTTAAGATGAATAACTTAAAAATTGTATCGTTTGGTTCAAAACAATAGAACATAATTTCAAACCGAAATTGTAGAATAATTGTCAGCAAAGCTGAAAATGAGAAATTTCATGGCAATTTCACTATACTCTTGGCCAATTAGTACTCATACGAATCAAAAATCTATCACTAAAAACCCGTTTCGTCAGATTACTCAATTGACTTTTGAGGCTAAGTCTATGTATTGAACCAATCGATATCGATATAATCTCACTCGTTTGATGTATCAAATACGATTTATTGACTATTTCGGTATCAATCGTTTTCCCGCGCTTTTTAAGACAGGGTGATTTAATGGCGATATGTCGAATGACAGCCACTGACAGATTTATCATTCATGGAGAGTTTTCCGTCACGGAGGGGGCGACTGGCCGTTGTAAAGAAAGATCACTGTGATCCTTAAATAAAAAAAATAGGCTGATACTGTGTTTGAATTTTTGAAATGAGAATGTGGATAGCAATGAAAAATAACCGCCAATTCAAAAAATAAGTACTTACCGGTACCTCGAACGGACTGACAACAAATAATTCATGACCTTGTCGAACTAACGTTTCCGTTAACGCCAAGATTCCGCGTTGATGACTATAAGCTTGCGTCGGGTATATGACTAAAATTTTGTAGGCGTTAATGCCCGAACTAAAAAGTAGAGCACTCAGAAATATCACGAACATCATTTTCGTTCATATTGCCATGAAAATTGCTAAAAAAAAGGGGGGGGGGGGAAAAAACAGCACACTGATTTGATTTCGACCGTTGCAGGCGTAATGTACAGTGAAAACTGTTCCTAACAGAAATTATCGCGTCATAAACATTCATACTGACTACGTTGAACTTCACCTACATATGCTCATATCTTTAAATTTTAAACGTCGAAAATTTTCAGGAGCGCGTATCTTTATTTACATAAGCAATTATCTCATTGCTTGTCTTACTAGCCAATTGATAATCTTTTACTTCAAAATTATCAATCGAAAACTGACGATATAGATTAGTATTTATAAACTTGAGAAAAAATGAGTGCTTTTCACGGTTTGATTGTGGGATTGGGCAGATGATCATTCTGCTTGGCCCGAAATGTAATTCTTATGGCCCGAGCACTGACGAGCACCCCCCATCTCTCCCTCTGCACATAGTTCTGTTTGATAAAAATACGTCCATTTTGCAATTAGGAACTGCAATCTTTGGCTCATCCGTAAAAACACTTATGCACATAAGAAAACTAATGGCATATGCGTTGTTTCTAAACTGAGCCAGAAATTGTATATCCTGTAAAAATGTAGTCCATTTGATGATTGAGTCCGCAAAACAAATAGAGTCCACTGTTTCCGGGTGTGTAGAGGGCTATGTTCATATTTCTATGATTACGGGTACGCCTCCTGACCACTTCGCGGTTCAACCCCGAGAGGCGCTCTGCGTCTCAAGCACTAAGCGTCTCACGATACTCTTATGATTTCGTATTATAAGTGAGATATGAGCGTATCCAGAGTATCTTCACATTTATGAGAAGAGTGTTGTATCGTCATCCCAATCCTGTAACATTAGGAAAAGTGTTTTGCTATATGATTCATCGGCGAGTTTTAAGCTTTCATGGTAGCCCCTCCGCATCTAAATTTGGCTTACGGTAATTAATAAATAAAAAAAAATGGCAACAGAGCGCTCAACGTCATACCAATTTTTTAATCCTGGAAAGTTCTAGACAAGTTCTAAGTTCGATGGATGCTCCTGTCGAAAATACACTTTTTTAAGTGAGGTTCATTAGTTGGACTACATTTCGCAATAAGGTGTCCTACAATTTATGACCTCATTATAAAAACCGAGTATATGTGATTACTTTCCATTTGCAGGTAGGTGCTTTCATGGATAAGTCAGATATTGTAGTTCCTCATTACAGAATGTATTTCAAATTCCTCTTCGATAATGTGTATAATACTCTGAATTAGATTCGGTTTTTATTTTATTTTGTTAGTTTTTTCATTTTTATCAGGACTCATATTTGATATTTTTTTCAAAAAATTATTGGATCAGGTTTGTTTACATTGACCCTGAATCTTAATGTCCTAAAAAGTCCCATCCTTAAATTGATGAGCCAGTCAGGAAGTGGCACAGAAATGACTACGCGCCCCATCCAAGTACGGCAGTCGTCAGAGGCCTGGCCGAACATTTTTCACGGGGGAGGCTTTACAGACAAAAATGTCTTATTTGGAGGGGGCGGTTTGATGGATAAAAAAATTCCTAAACATCGCGAGAGATAGCATTTTTTGGGGGAAATTCTCTGAACCTATGGAGCAGAAACCCTCGAAACTCCTTGGCTACACAATATATACGCGTAACTGACCTTTTAATTCACAGTGGAGCCACGCCGCTGCGCCGTCTCTAGAAATGAAGGTTTTCCAGAATTTTCACGCGAGTGACTGACGCGATTTTGTCGACTTGGCAACGGTGCGAGAAAGCGATGTGGCAACCTTGAAAGCAGCCCGCGGCGGCTTGGCGGCGATAAACGGGCCCGCGGTGCGGGGGGCCCTGGGGGGCGCGCAGGGCGAGAAGGGGGGGGGAGGAAATAATTTTTGTTGACACGGGAAATGCGATGGCTGCAAACTGTTGAACACCTGTATTCCACATCCACCCGCCAGCCGTCAGTCCGGTGTGCCGAGCTTTCCCGGGAACGTCACCAAAACGTCGTGCAGTGCTTGTTTTTCCGTGAAAATCCCTGATTAGCCCCCGAAATTTCGACCCCTCCCCGTGGTCCAACTTCCGAAAACTTCCGGTTGTCGTTAAGGTGAATCGGAAGGAGGCATGGATTTACGGTAAGATTGTGGCAAAGTGTCTTAGATGTCAACACCCCCCCCCCCCCCCNGAGCCATAACAAAACATTTCGACAGGAAAATAGTATTGTTTTAAGCTGCTTTTGCTCTGAAATGGATCGAGTTTGGCGGAAAGGAACCGCGCACAACGCAACCTAATCATCTATCTGCACCGGGAATTCAATAACAAAAGTATCGTTTCTGAAATTGGACGAAAATTAGATTTTCCTCTTCCAAAGATAGCGGAAAAGTGCCTTAGATGTCCACCCCCCCCCCATCCGAGCTCAAAAAAACATTTCGACACGAAAATAGTATTGTTTAAGGCTGACTTTGCTCTGATATGGACCGAGTTTGGCATGTAGGAACCGGGTACAACGCATGAATGAAAACACCTATCTGCACTGGGAATTCAATCACACATATATCGTTTCTGAAATACGACAAAAATTAGATTTTTCTCTTCTAAAGTCGGTCTAAATTATGCGAGGAACTTTGGGGAGGAGAAGATGGGGTTGGCAGATTCAATTGGACTTCATTTTGCAGTGAGGCACATCAATTTTGGCTCATCCGTAAAAACACTTCTGTACATGTGGAAACTACTTGTTGGCACTACTACTATGGCACATACTTTGTTTCTAAACTAAGCCCGTAATTGTAGTTCTCAACTGCAAAATGTAGTCAAATCATACTCAAACACTATCAGTCTAACTACAAACAACATAACGCCTTGAAAGTTTCTGTGAATTTCTTCTTAACTTTACAAAATATATTCACAAAATTTCAAGCGATGATGTTGCCTCGGTTTCTGTTGTATGAAAAAAACATAAGAAGAAATCAGGCAATTCTGCTTTAATCCTTTCAATTATATTTGGTAACATAGGCGGTTCAAGATACTTCGAACGGGTAAGGGGTGGAAGGGGGTCTGGGGGCTCCCGCCAAAAAAATGTCGAAATTTTAAAGCATCTATCGTGCAGTTTGAATTTCATCATGAATAATTACCAAGTATAAGCGTCCTTCTCACCTCTTTCCTCCATGCCTTCCTATCCTCTTTCATCCCCTTTTCTTCTTCCTGTTTTCCGAGCGAGCGGGAGGGCGTACTTTTCTACGCCCCCCGCACCCCCTTCTTGGATCCGCCCATGCGTTGTAATGGGGATTCATTTTAGATTGCTGAAATAATCGGATTTTTTTCGAAGTTCTTCCTGAAAAAAGATCAGTGATTGGACACATTCTACAGAATAATGTGTATTTTACATAGCGGTAAGTACACAACGGGTATACGCCCATTCTTGAAACGCTACAATCAAAAAATGAAATTTTTAAGTCGCGTCATCCGTTTAAGTCTTACAATAATTTCCGCTGAAACTGGAGTCGGTGCATTTTTCTTTAAATCAATCGAGTAAACAGATCATATGATTCAAGTAAGCATGATGTAATAGAGACATTCTTTGCAGAAACGACGTATAAGTTTCGGCGTGCTACAAAGATTGAGGAATTTTTCATGTATTATGGATAGAAAACTACCACAAATATGCTAATACTTGCATCGAAAAATGAGTGAAAATACTGTAAATTTTAGGCGTGACAATATACTTAGTAGGACAGTCAAGTTCATCAAAGTTGCGATCTAAGCAAAAAGTTGTACAAATTCAACAGCACTCCAAATGAGTGACTACATTTTGCAATTCAGATTTGTTTTAGGCTCGGCTTAGAAACAGCGTATGTACCATTAGTTTCCATGTGCACTTACGTGTTTTTGTGGACGAGCTAGAAATTATAGTTCCTAACTGCAAAATGTAGAAGCTCATACGTCGCCTACTTTTACAATTAGATCTTCAAAACTTCAAAAAGCATCAATACGCGTAGAGCATCACTCAAGGAGTATTGTCGCGCGCCGCGCCGTACTGAACAATGACCGTGCTTAAAAATCTTGCATTAGGGGAACGCACGGAACCAGGAAATTTTGCACGGTCTTAACCTTCAAAGCTCGTGACCTTGCCCTCTTATCTGAAGAAAACTAGGAATTATGAAGCAACCGGAATGACAAAATTATCTGCTGAAAATTTACTACGACAATTCGGACAGGTGTTAGCGTATAGAGCATTATCAGCTCTACACTTCGGGAACAAGAAGATGTCCTGAGACTGCATAATTCATCAGTATTCTGAAGTTTTGTTCACGAATGCAATTGTTCGGTTGTTTTTAATGAAAGTGGCTGTTCTTTTTGGCGAGATTTTGCGAGTGATGTTACTTTTAACTTGACGTATTGGAAATGATTGTTCTGATCAATGGGCGTTATGAGACCGTAAGTTTAACTAATAAAACCACGAATTTCTGAGTGACCTGTGTACCACCTACAATGGCAGCCGGATTTAAAATGTGCTGAAAGTTAACAATTACGTACAAGAGAATATCGATGGTGGAACTGCAGAAATGCGTATCTCGTTTTGCGGCTTTGCAGACTTCTTCACGTACTTTATTTTCTGCGTAGAAAACTACCAAACGTCATTCCGTGAAAACTTCAATGATTTTTCTTCTCCATTTCCATGTGATTATTATTCTGTGAAAATTTCAATTGTCATGTTCGCTCGATTTCCGTTGAAGAAATAAAATAGGAGCGGAGATTTTGAAAAACCGTAACCGAAATACGCACTCTTGCAGTTTCACCATCGATATACGATTATGATTCCGAAAGACAAAATCGAGCTTGCTGGTTGCATCCCTCTGAAAATGTCGATTCATTCGATGGCGTTTAAGGGAGAGGAACTGAGAAACTAAACTAAACTGTGAAGAACTTGGAAAACTGGACTTTGTGGATCAAACTCATTCAACAAGCTACCGATCAAGTGGACCAGATTTTGTATAAGGAACTAACAATTTTAGCTCATTTAAGAAGCAACATATGTGCCAATAGTTTCCCTGAGTAGATACTTACTTTTACTGATGAGCCATAAATAGTAGTTCCTTATTGCAAAATCTGGTCCAAGTTTCTAGGATCACATCGCCCCGCCGATGAAGGACGGCGGTGCTGAGATAACTATTCGTGCATTACGGTACTATTTTTGGCCTATCTTCTGATTTTGAAGGCACTCTGGGTTGATCTCCCAATCTGTATTGATCTCATGTATTAACCATGTCGACTGACTCGTCAATTGCTATATTCCTGTGATGCATTCGAATTACATTTTGAGATAAAGAACCACTATCTCTGGCTCTCCCATAAAAGCACATATCTGCATAGGGAAACAAATGTCATGTACGTTGTTTCTAAAATGGGCCAAAAATTGTGGTCCCTTATTGCAAAATGTATTCCATTTGTGCGGAAAAAGTTCATCTACATTAAGAGATTCAAATTTTGAAGCCTGATCGAGGCTCTTTATTTATCCGAGGGTTACTATTAAAGGAGGACGAGAAAAATTGAATGCACATTACAAGGAACTCATATTGCCCCCCTCCCCCCCTCGAAGTTCTCATGTAGATAAACTTGTTGTGTAATGCTGCTCCAATGGGTAGATAACGTGCAAGATAAAGATCTGTCAGCAGGGCAAATAAGACCCTCAACTACTTCAGCGGGCTGATTATTGAAATTGATAGACATAGAAATAGACAAAGAAGACATTGGGAGTATGCAGCAATCCTATTGGTTGAAACGGGTGGTTGTTACAGACTAAGGGGGAAAATGATGGGCTGACTAAAGGTCTCTTGTCGGTTGCCGTTAGTTAGTCTATTGCATACCACCTGTGTCCATTGTAACCACCCACTTCCACCAATAGGATTGCTTCATTTGCCCTATGTTTTCTCTGTCTATCGTTTTGTCTATCAATTTCAATAATCAGCCCGCTGAGTCATAATGGATCCCCGGGGATTATTTTTAGGCACTTTAGGGTTCATGGGGGATAATTTGAATGGTCTAAGTGACATTTCGTCACCTAGACCATTCATTTTTCATTAATTTTCATTCATTTTTTAGACCATCATTTCGTCACTTTTCGGCCAAAGTATCATCAGCGTTAATTTCGCTTCTGTGCTATGTTGCCAAACATCTAAAACTCGTTCCATTTTTTACGGAAAAATAAATGAATAGAATCTTTTAAAAATTTTACGGGTATTTTCGTTTGTCGGTACGATTTATCCCTGAAATTTTCATGAAAATATATTTAACAATTTTAAAGGAAAAATCAAAAAAAATTTGAGATGTCTCGTAATATTGCGATATTTTGACCGAAAAGTGACGATTATCGACTTTGCCGATACATATTAGAACTGAAAAACTTGACATGCGCTTGAAATTGCTAAGCACTCAATTTACATTTAATAGGTTTTTCGATTCAGCCGAGGTGTTGGATTTGGATCATCAATAAGGTACTCCTTATTATTAGCACATAAAATTGTTTATTTTATTTGCCTTATTCATTTCAACGCTTAGTGTCATTATCAGATCGAGTCATCATTAACCGAATGTAACGAGTGCTATATACATGTGATAATAATTTCATGATCACAATTGACCAAGTAATGATGATGACACTATGTGCTGAAAAGCATAAGGCAAATATAATAAACAATTTTATATGCAAATAAGGAGTACCTCATTAACGTCCAATCCAACACCTTGGCTGGATCCAAAAATCTAATGTTAATAATGGTGTTGCTAAAAAATCTACTAAATTCAAATTACATTTGTACCTACCAGCTTTTAAGCAGAGGTAAATTTTAACACGTATCAAGAGGTAATATACTTGTATAACAATATCTCATAGGGCTGTTAGTAATTAACCGTATCATCAATGGTGATTCAACACACTTTTATCAACGTTGTCAATTTACGTAGGGAATTAAGAGTGAGATCTTTGAAGTCATGAGCCTTAGGAGCAAATGATGTCAAGCATTTTAAGTGCTATAATACCACGGAACCATGCTAGAAATGGGATAAAAATACCCCTCAGTAGCAATATATTTCTTTAAATTATACTTAAATTTTTTTTCTTTAAGTATATCATGAAATTTTGTTGCTCATATCCGTATTGATCCAGAGCTCGTTAAAATCCGTAGACAGGAGGTGGAGGCAGATCCGTAGCCATGCTCACTCAGCCGTATGCACAGATGATCCAAAAAGTCAATTGCGTTGCATTGTTGTCTCAATGACATAATTCGCTTACAGATGACTCTTATGACTGGCAGATGCAACAAAACAGCGTCATTTTCCGATATGAAGAACGGCAAATAGCAGTAATGAGCATTCAAGGAAGCTAGGAAGGATATTGATCAATGAAAGATACATCCTCGTCCATATATATTTGACATGAAGATTGCATAGGTGGGGGGGGGGGTTAAAGTGAAGGGAGTCTTAGCTGCATTGGTGAATTATTTAAGAACTTATTATCTGTTTCAGTGATGAATTGTTTTGTAGAATTAGAGATTAAACGGTAGATTTTTCTGATCAGGAATCTGACAATTTTTGCTGAAGCTGACAATTTTATCCCACATTTCACCGTTTCGCCGAAAACAAATATTTTTGGGGAGGAGTGTCAAAAATGCATAGAAACATCAGGACATTGATGGAGGGGAACGTTGACAAACGAATTTGTAAGAATGCATTTGTCTCTTGGGCGAAAAAAAAGGGGGCAGTATTTTGAACAGTCTTAGAAATTTTGAGAGAGATAAAGAAATAAAGGGCGGACTAAAAAATATACGTGATTTTTCTCTTGAAAAACAATTCAGTTCTTTCAAGTAAAACTCATCCGAGGGTACACTTACAATTAGTGAAAAATTAAATAGTAAAACTCAATTTTTCGCTAAAATTTAGGGGTTAATAATACATCCGTGCAGTAAGATTTTACGTGATTTCTTTAACTTCATTTGCTTTTTTCTCGAAATCATTAGATTTTCACCTAGTATCCTCATCCACGTATATTTTAATAGTGTAAAATACTTCGTAAAATCAAAGTTGCCTTCGCAATAAGAATTTTACGCTGAAGTCGTATAAAGTTGACCTTGAAAACAGACAGACATGTGAAAACGAACTTGGCATTGACCTCCTCTTGAACTGAGAACTTTAAATATGAAATATCTTCTTCCAGTTTAGCAAATATTACAATGTGTGGAAAAAATGTAAGGAAGGTTTCGAGCAATCCTCAAAGGAACTACATATGTACGTAGATGTACACATAATTTTTATTTGATTTACAAGTCAATCTACGCTATTTATGATATTTTTATACCAGAAGGAAAACACGTCTATCGTGAACATGTGGGCTTTGTACATCTCTTTAACATTTTATAAAATTAAGAACACAACGGTACCTCTTATTTTATATTTTAAACAATTATTAGTGAAAAAAATAATCGATGGAGAAGTTGAATCCAATTTCATGAAGCATTTAGATGTTTTGTAATGTCTGAGCCAAGTTATTTTTTTTCACCATTTAGCGCCAGCAATAGACGAGCAGTTAATGCACGACTCATCATCATTTTACATGCATAATAACATTTTCAAACACTCTCCCACCTTTTTAATCACACGCGCTGAAAAAAAAAAAAGAAAAAAAAAAAAAAAAAACTCTGGCTGTGAAAACCGTACTTACGGGCTATATAGACATACCATCCATGCTCCGGGCTCAGAGGCTGAAAGTTCCAGGTGTAGCATCCGAAGCAATCGAAGCTACAGCTCCAGCACTCGGAGCTTTCGGCTTCTGAGCTCGGAACGAACGCCGTCTATACAGCACGTAACTTTTTTTTCAATGCGCTGGTAAGGAGCCATGACAGGTAAGAATTTCACTGATAACTAAAAGACACGAATCTGACTTACAGACAATCAAATGGCGGCAACAGAAAAAAGCTCCGCCACATATTGCTGTAGTTTCAATGCATCTATTCCGGCTGGAATTTCTATGGGTGTCTTCTGGTGCATTCACGTCGTTTTAAGAGGTGAAAACGGCAGTACAGAGTGCACTATAGTTAGTTGTTTACTTCAGTTTGATCGACACTGCTGGGTCACATTGACGCTCAATACTCTTGATCTTAAGTTCGTTGTAGAGTTAATCAGTGCGGCTTCTACTTGCGGTTGTCTACTCCTGATTCGGGGAGGAATTGCGCCCTGAATCAACTCTAATAAAGAGTTGAGCCTGGACCCAGTAACAAAGTAGGATGATTCCTAAGAAGCACAGTAGCCATTGAAAACTCATAATTCCGAAACAGAACACTGGACAGGATTAGAAACACGAGCACAAATACGAGAGGCAACGACAGATTTTTCCGAGAGCACTAAGTGTGGAAGGGCTAATTGTAAGAGCTGTTTTTATGTTGGTTTTATACTCACTCGGCATAGGAAAAAAACAAAATTCGGAAGGTGATAAGAGGAGACAATGCGGAGAAAGGAAAATTAGCACGAGGTCGTGTCCTCTGGCATTTCAATATGTGTTTAGAAACTAACAATGAGAATGATTTTCTTATGATGACGAGGCCGTTTCGGTCTGTGATTTTTTCATAGTTTTTTGCACAGACTACATGGATCCATAACCGAATATTGGGGGAAACAAAATTGTTGGGAGGAGCCTTTCAGTGGTTTTGATGGTGCCATTTCGACGCGAAACTGCAAATATGCGTATCTAGGTTGCGATGTTTCAAAATTTCCGATCCTATTTATTTCTTCAGAAGGAAGCTTGGCCGATATCATCGCTTGAAATTTTCGCAACATATTTTTCAAACAGAGAAGAAAAATCACTAGAGTTTTCAAGGAATGATATTTATTAGTTTTCGACGGGAAAAAATGAAGTATGACAGGAAGTCTGCAACGTCGCAAAACCGAGATATGCATTTCTGCAGTTTCATCATCGATTTGTTTCTGCCTTAAAGTGTCCGTTCATCTTTTATTTGGGCTAAATTTTGCATTAAGGAACTACTATTTCTGGCTTATTTTGAAAACAACCTAAGGCACGCACATTTTCTTGTACAAATAGGTGCTTCTATGAATGCGTCAAATATATTGGTTCCGTACGTTATAGGCGGATCCAGGGGGCGTAGGGAACGTACGCCCTCCACCGCTCACCCGAAAAAAGGAGGAAGATAAAGAGGTGGAAGAAAGAGGGAAGGAACGGAGGAGAGAGGTAGGATAGAGGAAGAATAGAAGAAGGATAGAAGAAGGATAGAGGAAGGAATGAGGAAGGAATGAGGAAGGGAAGAGGAAGGAATGAGGAAGGAAAGAGGAAGGAATGAGGAAGGAAAGAGGAAGGAATGAGGAAGGAATGAGGAGGGAAAGACGCTTCCATTTGGTAATTATTCATGACGAAATTGACTCAAACTACAGATTAGATGCTTCAAAAATCCAAGATTAGGGAAAAGATTACCTAGACAACCACCTAAGAGATGGACTTAAAACTGGCTCTCTTCTCCTGAGGATGAATGAAGATTTTATGTTGTTTTTAGTATATTTGACGAGTCCTTTATTTTTAGATTTTTAATATTTATATAGTTTATTGTGCTCGATACTAGATGAGCTGACAAACAGGGCTGTGCCTAGTCGTTAGTGGAAGAAGAAGAAGAAGAAGAAAAATGAAAAAAAATTCCCGCACCCCCCTTACGCCCTCTCCCCCCGTAGAGGTGTCTGAATCCGCCTAAAATAAATCCCACCGGATGGAATCGTTTCAGTTTAGAGGATTTGGTGAGTGATTGACAACTGAATCGTTGATGTTTGCAGCTAGCGCCTTGCGGTGCGTGGAGCGGCAACCCGCCGTTCAGGATGGCGAAGCCACAGCTGGAGGAGCTTTTTCGGTGTTGCGACCAGAAAGGCACCGGCCTCATCGACGTCGAGGAGTTCCGGGACCTCTGCGCGGAATTCGGGATCGATAAATCGGATTCTGACGTCATCTTCGCGGACTTGGACCATGATGGCGATGGAAAGGTTTGAGATGTTATGTGAATCCTACTTTTCATTTATATATTAATCCTAACAAAATCTCTTTTCTAATTGCAGGGAAGCGAATGACCGATGTTGCTGAGGCATTTCTATAAAATGAATAAATTATATGTGGATGGTGAGAGTGCGAAACTACGTACCTCAGTTGGTGACATCGCAGACTGTCTGTTATAATTTATTTTTTCTCCTGATAACCAGTCCACGCAATTTCTTGAAAGCTTGGTTGGTTTTCTTCTCTATTTGCAGAATATTCTTTTTAAAATTCAAGCTGTAGACTTGGCTTGTCTCTCTTCGAAAAAATGAAATGGGAAAGGAAATTTCGAAACACCGCAATGGAGATACGTGGTTTCGTACATTAGCCATCATTACCACTGCCTTCCCATGACGAAATTGAAAATGGCTCCGTCATCAATTTTCAATAAAAATAAATGAGTCGTAACTTTGTGCTCACTGTACAAAAAACTTATAATTGATGGTAAATTTCCTTCCATCAAAACTTTGGAAACAATCCAAGGGTCATTTTAACACAACATGTTGTGTTGAGCCATGTTGTGTCGATTGAAGGAGACATCTGTGTTGTATTGAAACGGCAATGTTGGGAGAGTATTTTCGAGTTGGCACAACACAATTATGTCGTTCAACACAACGTTAGCCAATCTGAGTGAAAACTACTTTTAGCGCTGAAGTATACGAAACCAGATGTATACATTAAAACATGCTCGAATATTTTTCATTTCTTTCGAAATATACTGATCAATATATTTCCTTGAAATTATTTGTTACATGGTTTGAATGATGTGAACAGGAACTTCTTAGGAAAAACTGATGGTTTGTTTTTCTTTAATAAAAAAAAAAATTAAATGCAGGTATATGAAAGGCCGTAATCACAGGTACGGATTCTCCGACTTCAGCAATCGACTTGCATGTGTAAGGCTGTTTCAGACCATGCCACTGCCTGCGGTAGCAAAACTGAAATTGGACGTATTTCTATCAGAAAGAACTATGTGCAGGTGAGAAATCAAAATTCGTTTGGAGACCCGCACAAGATAATTGATCGAATTGACAATACTCGAAAAGTCATATTCCTGAAAGCTGCTGATTTGTGAGCTGCACGACGGAATCCATCTCCGTTGACGTCACTGGCGCTTCATGATTCTCATTTACTCTCACGGCCAGAGAACTGACGAGCACACCCCATATTTCTCACCTGCACATAAATCTGTTTGATAGAAATACGTCCAATTAAAAGAGCCGGACCGCGTTTAGCAAAAAGGCTCCAAGCCACATCAGCTATACCAAATTTAGCTGGGCGATTTGATTTTACACAAGAGGACGTTCGTGTTGATTCCTCTGGGAAATTTTAAGAAATTTGCCTTGCACTACGCAAAAATTCACTAAAATTCGTGGAAAACGCACAGCCGTCTTCACGTAAAGAATTAAATTTCCCGATTAAATTTGGCGGTATCTGATATGACTTGGTTCCTTTCTGCCCAACGCGGTTCGTCTCATGTACGTGATGATTGCGTAGGTGAGTCTGGAGGACTTTGCCTGGGGCTTCCGGCAGTTCATGTCGCCTGACGAGCGGCGAAATTCCATCCAGATCATCGAGAGGGCCTATCCCTTGGGCACCTTCGGCGGACGCGGGGAGCAGCGGCGCCTCGGGGGAGACCCCGGGGAGGCGCGCGCAGCATGGTCCAATCTCGTTGCAGGGGTCGGCGAAGGCACCATCCACAAGTTCCTGAATAGAAGGTACGTAAAGCTACAGCCCCCCCTCCTCTCCAACACCCGATTCCCGGGCCATAAAACGGTCTCACTCACCCTCGGCTCTCTGCGGTGTCCCTGCTAAAAGAGATCATGTTGACACCATGCTGGTGAGTGAAATACAGTGACAAGAGGCCCTCCACTAGCATCTTGGCCATTGTGGAAGCTTTTACTTTCGGGACTTCAGCATTCTACTGTTGACTTACCTACATGGTTGATGTTTAACAACGTGTTGGCAGTTTCGTTTTGCAAATAAGTCGAAAATGGCCGAAGTTTGTGAAAGTTGTTTGGCTCATGACGTCAATCGAAGCTCATCGACCATGTAAGTAGGTCAACACAGCCGAAATTAGGGTGATGACTGTTGCTCCCTAATAATTTATTGTCCATAAGGAACTGGTGAATCCCCGAAAGTAAAATCTTCCCCCTGTCGCTAGGAGGCCAGTGGAGGGTCTCTTGTCTCTGGTGAAATATGGTGAAATGTTGACACCAAAATGGTATTCGTGGTACCAATTCGGTCCATTTTGTCCAACTGTTCCATTTTTATCACTGTTTGGAAATTTGATTGATTTATTACCATGTTACGAGTTATCATCATGTTGGCGTCGACATTTTACATATTTTACCCACCAACATTCATAGGGCACCATGCGACATAGGATCGTATTCATGAACGTAACTTAAACAGCTCACTCCCTTAAGGAAGCCCCTAGATCAATGGGGAAAGTGCGATCCTACATATCTCCATTGTAGTGTTTCAAAATATCCACTCCTATAGTATTTTTTCGGATAAAAACAAGTCAGCTTCATAGCTTTGAATTAGCACAGAATATTCTACTGGCAGAGGAGAAAAAAAGAGAGTTTTCAAGAGATTACGCTGACTAGTTTTCCAAAGAAAAATACAGTATGACTGGAAGTCTATAACGTCGTAAACGGATATTCGTGGTCTCGCACTTCAGCCATCGATAAGATTTTCATCGTGAATAAGGGAGATTTAAGAAACACCCATAACGTATCATCATAAAAAGGACTATTTTTACGAAACTAGAGTTAAAGTTAACAGTTAACTACCATGGTAAAAATTGGCAGTAGAATCTGTGTTCCGAAATACCATAGACCTACGCCCGGCTGTAAGATTTCTAATAGCTTCTATAGCCGGCTACACAATTTCTTATAGCCTTTTATAGCCGATGGTGATTATATTTTATATTTTTTATTTTCGTTCGGCGTTATATTTTCCTTTAATACAATGTTTTTTTTCATCAATTAAAACGAGAATAATCCATACAGAATGTGCAAACATTTCAAAATCATGAGTTGAATAACGCTGACTCCGCCAGATTAAATGTTAGAGCCTAACACAAAGCGGAGCGGCGACGCACTGGCGCCTACAAACCTAACAGGGATACTTCACGCATTGCGCAACGCGTGAAGTATCCCTGTTAGGTTTGTAGGCGCCAGTGCGTCGCAGCGCAATGCGTGAAGTATCCCTGTTAGGATTGTAGGCGCCAGTGCGTCACCGCTCCGCTTTGTGTTAGGCTCTAACATTAAATCTGGCGGAGTCAGCGTTATTCAATTCATGATTTTGAAATGTTTGCACATCCTGTATGGATTATTCTCGTTTTAATTGATGAATACAATTTTTTTTAAAGGAAAATATAACGTGTGTTTTGTAAATATTAAGGTGGTTCCGTATCAAACTTAATGATTTCCAAAGCACACGAATTTCTACACAATTTCTTATAGCCTTTTATAATCGATGGCGAAAAAGCAACAGCCAGGCGATACAGTGTAAAGTCTGGCGATAGGAACTATAGTCCGGCTGCATAATTTTTATCGCTTCGTATAGCCCGGCCGTATGACTTTCTCCGCATTCTACAGCCAGCTATATTATTTTCTGTAGCCTTCTTTAGCCGGCTGTAAGAATTCCTATGGTATTTTGAAACGCAGCTCTTATCGCCGATTTTTACCAGGGTATTAGAAGAGTATCACCGGGGATCTCAATTATTTATATGACCCTGCACAAGTTAAAAAATTCAAAAGAAAATATGTTTCAAGTTTTGCTGATTTTAAGGTAGGTAGTTCCGGCCCCCATCTTTCCATTTTTGCCATTGAATGGCAAAAATACGAAGGACATCATTTTTTGTATAGTTTAATTTCCATTTGATCTGTATTAAAAATAATTGTCAATGTCTGGTCTAAGAGTTAATTTCCGAATTTCCCGTTGTCTGTATTGTTTTCTTTGAAGTATTTTGAATAGAAAACATATGACGTTATTTTTTACTTCAGGATTTTCCTACGAGGCCCATTTCTTCCTTCATTGTCAAAAATCTTATTGGCTCTTGAGTAATTTCTGATGAGGCCAAGAATTAGATGAGGCGCCACCCACTGGTTTCTAAAATGTTGGCGTGAAGTCTGAACACTAATACTTGACTCCTCAGAGGATGGTTTATTGACAGTAAAAAAACCCTATCAGAATTCAAAAATTTGTAGACTGCCGACTCATCTAGAGAATTTCTTCTTTTGAAAGTAAAACAATCATGGAAATCAAGCCTGACAGTTCTTAAATTATATGAGTAGGACGAAAATTAAAAGTGCATGGAGTTGGAGATTACAGAGTACAGACCCTTTGATGTGGTCACAATGGAAAAAAAGATAATTCAATTTGTAAGAAAGCGCCGAGTAATTTTAATCAAATGTATACGATTTGGACCGTGTTTAACAGAAAGGAAGCAAACCATATCAGCTATTGCCAAATTTAACTGAGCAATTTAATTTTTAACAAGAGAACGTTTGTGCGGATTCCTCTGAAAATTTTAAGGAATTACTTCGTACTAGATGCCATCTACCAGATGACCTCTGGATCAATAGGCAAGGATGGCGATTAGGTGTCGCAGAGCGCCCGAGCGCGCTGTAAAGCGACTGGAATGTATGTGTATGTACTTCGTACTATGGAAAAAATTCACTGAAAGCACAAAAATACGCACAACCGTTTTCATGCATAAAATTAAAGTGCCCAATTGGATTTGGCACTAGCTGATGTGGCTTGGTTCCTTTCTGTTTAAATTGGGCCATTTATAAGGATTTAGGAGGTGAAATGTGAGCTTTGGTGAACATTTATTTCGCCGATTACTTTACTCAAAACTTTTTTCACATGTCAAACCTAAAAAAGTAAGGGCTATTCAGAAAAAAAATTAGAAGAAACTTGTGTGACACCACTTGAAACTTTCTTGACCAGAGACATGTTTAAACAAGCCATAATCACGAATAGAAAAAATTTTGGTGGTGGTTTTAAGTTATGATGGTTTTGACGGAAATAATATTCAAGCTTAAATATTTTATGCTTAACATTTCAAGCTTAGACGCGAGTAATAATCTTAAGATAGTTTTTAAAAAAAAGGCCACCATGATTACTATACAGCATGCGCCTTATAAACAACTCGCTCGAGAAAAATAGTTGGGACCCAACATTGACACATCAATTGTGCAAAAATCAAACAACCGAAGTAGATTCAGCGAAATGATTGTTTGCTCAGTTGGTTTTAATCCTTGTTGCCGAAAAATGCGGTTCCGAATTCTGAAATTTCTTAACTTATCAAAAGCTGTTTAAATCAAGGATTTAAATCAATAATCGTCATCTTCCTAAATTATCATAAGTGCCATGCGACGTTTAAAAATTTCCGCCGCCATTTTATGTTTTTACGAAGAAATTGGATTTTTTTTTTCAAATCTAGAACCACCGATAAAACAAAACAAAATCAATGGCAACTGTAGAATTACTTATCCGTTACATGAAAATATCGGCTTGGGTATACCTATTTGGCAAAACTTATATTTAGCCCAAAAATGGCCTCTTATATTTGGCACCATTGGTTGTAAATCCATCAATCCTTGAACATACTGCTCGTATTTGCAGTCGAGGAAATAACCACGAGTTCGCCGTTTGATGACAAAGTGCAGCCTTGGTTCCTCGTGGAAAATGTAGCATTTCTCAACATCTGAAAACCAGTAGTTTGTCAGTGACATCGTCAATAGTTCTCATCAGAAATCGTTCAGCTTTTAACCCCGCGATAAACTGATGCTTCGGCTGCTAAATTTACCGCATCCTTCATTTCAAAATATTTTAACTTGCCGGCACCTTCAGATAGCAAACATTTGATGGACTATTCGTGTCTCTTTCTAAAATTGATATTTAAGAGGCAGACAAAATCGCCGTCGATATTTTCTATCTAAGTGCTATTTCTTTTTTTGAAAGATATAAAATGAAATAAGAACCATGCGTTTTTTTCAAACCGTTCAAAACCGCGATCCTGTACCTAAAATTCTAAAATTGTAGATTATGTGCGATAGATTTTGGAACTCAATACCAATTATACTTTACAGAAATATGTATGATATTGAAAGCCAGTTCCACGACAAGTATGGCAAAGATCTGTTGATAGAAGTGAGATTAGGCCTGGCAACCTAATGTTTGTTTATTTAACAACATAACATAAAGTTTAGTTAAAGCATACATGGTTGGTATTCGTGCGAAAGATTTTAGTGGAGCTCCCACCCCCCTCCCCCCCCGGAATTTCAAGACTGCATGTTAACTCAACTAACCGTTTAAGTATCGCGCATTTTGTCTTACGGCTAATTATTTATCAGCTTCAATTATTCATTGCTGACGTGCTGCAAAGTGAAATAAGGATTTGGGTGACACATACGACACGTGGCTTTGTCAAAAATTCAAATGAAAAAACGTTTCGGCAATATTTCCAGCGGAAAGAAGCTTGCGGACCTCTACGAAGAACTACAGACTGCAAACGCTTGCCCCGAACTTTTGAACCAGTTTGAAGGGGCTTTGAGCTCACTCATTGAGGACGTCAAAAAGCTCCATGATGAAAAGCGGGAACTGGAGGATATGTTTACGAAGTAAGTCAAATCAGCATCTTAATTATTAATATGAACCAATGACTGCACGGTTGTATCAGAACATGGCAAGTTTGTTCTTCTATAAAGAATGGATCATTTAAGGTCGGAACTTTAAAGCAGCATGAGACTTAACACTAAATTAGATCAAACAAGAAGAATTTATCTTTAAACGAGGAATTTGGTTTAAAAAAGTTCCCTTTTCTGTATTAATAATATTCAAGGAGAGAAATTGTCTAATTGATCAGTAGAAATTCCAGTTAAAAATTCTCGGACGAGTATTTTCGTTAAGTTATCATTGTGAGCGTCATACCCGCTGGTAAAATGGCCCAGTCGGCGAATTGGAAACGTGTTTGTCCAGTGTGGGAGCTGGCCAATGTTCTTGCGCATGCAGTCCGTGAAATGGGCAACTAGTCCACGACTGGTCGGTCAAAAGTCTGAAAAGTACGCCGAGAGGCACTAGTCGTTAATTTTTAATGCAATCTGTACCCTTACCGACGCACAACGGATTGAGTGAATGGGGGAGGTCGGACAAAATTTGAAAACTTTAAAAGCTCATAACTCCGTCCATACAAAACTTGGAGGTTTTAAAAATGGTTCAATCGATTTCCTTGTGACATTTTCCTCTGGAGGCACCCATTAAAATTTAAAATGTGACAAATTATACATCAAAATTTGCAGTTTCAGTTAAAAATTTCATGCCCTACCTCTCTGATAGATCGATTCATTGTGAGACGGATGTCCCTTACTTGATTGCTAGATTGATTTGATTATGTACGGCGCTTTGATGCAACTGTTCGTGTTCATCGATTGTGCGTGTTGCCCATTCAAAAATTGAAGGCGTTTTTACTTTCCTCACTTCCTCAGAACTGCACGGGACTCGTCAGTTGAAGCACCTGAATAAAAGAGTGCCCAGAGGCTACGGTCAGAGTATCTCAGGCCCAATAATTCGGTTAGTGTCTCGACCTAAGGATACTACACTTTTGGTGTAGTGTAATAACCTGTGTTTTGAGTATTGTATTATTATCTCATGTTTGTTAATCCCTCATATCGTCGCTCCTCTGACGTAAGGGCGTATCTCGATTCTGACATGAGCCCTGGGAAACATGGTGTTATATGGACAACAGGGTAGAAATCGAAGAATCAGAAAATCGAGATACGCCCTTACGTCAGAGGGGCGACGATATTAAGGCACATATCGTCGCTCCTCTGATGTAAGCGAGTACCTCGATTTCCACTGCTGGAATTCCTCGAATTCCACTTAAACCCTGTTGTCCATAAAACCCAATGCTTTCCAGGGATCATGTGGAAATCGAGATACTCCCTTACGTCAGAGGGGCGACGATTTGGCCTGGCTCCATGACATATTTCGTCGTTTCCATTACAAAAGAACGTAACTACATGTCAATATTGCCAAATTTCCCCTCGCATAATGCATTTTCACCTGGAGAAATTTGGGCATTTCTAAATATAAATTTAACTATGATTATTCCTCTGATCTCATCCAAAAATCAGGGAAATTTTGAACTAAAATTGTTCAAGTAGAAAAAGGGATTGTTTGAGTCAATTTTGCAACATTGGAGTGGAGTTACGTTCCTTCGTCAGGGAACCGATGATTTGGATTACATGTTGCAATAAGGAACCACTATATCTGGCTCTCCCATAGAATCACATATCTGTATAGGGAAAACAACGGCATGTATGTTGTTTCTAAAATGGGCCAGAAATAGTGGTTCCTTATTGCGAAATACAATCCATTTGATAAGCACTATTTGGACTGCATTTTGAAATTTGGAACTACAAACTCCGGCGCTTCTGGAAAAACACTCATGTGCATAGGGAAACTAATGGCACATACGTCGTTTTTAAACCGAGCCGGAGTTAATAGTTCCAAATTGCAAAATGTAGTCCATTTTTGCGAGTAGCACATAGTTGAGGTTGTAACGAGGGATTATAATTATTACAGGGAGAAAGAGAACCACCTACAAAGGCTGCGTGGCCTGGAGGAGGAGCTGGACGCCCAAGTGGCGAAAATAGAAGAGAACGCTCGCGAGGAGGCTCGAATCCAGTTCGAGAACGAAAAACGCGTCCTCATGGACAAAATGGAGTCAGAATCCTCAGAGCTTCAAGCCCATCTTAAACTTCTCCAAAAAGTAAGTCTTCACTGTTCACAAATGAAAGGGCCAAAGTAGAGATAAATAAATAGTGCTAAGAAAACCAGCGGGCTGATTACTGAAATTTGTAGACAGAGCAATAGACAAAGAGGACAAAGAGAGAATGGAGCGCTCCCATTATTTGAGACGAGTGGTTGTCATAAACTACGCAGATAGATTCCTCTCTGCGTAGTTTATAACAACACGAAAGTTTGTCTTAAATGGTTAAAATACAGGATAACCCAACCCTTCGGTTGACTCTGGGGTCTCTTTATTGTTTTCTGCGCTGATTTCACCGCATATCGTACCAAAATCAACACGAAATTTGAGTTAGTTTGTACCAAAATAACCAGTTTGAGTTATATTAACCAAAATTATTACAAGAATACAAATATTTTGATCATTGTAATGTTGGAATAACTATAGGGTCTCTTTGGCGTTGCCGTTCTTTCATCTATTTCTTACCTACTTTGTTCATTGCAATCACCTGCTTCTACCGATAGGATGGCTCCATTCTTTCTTTGTCTTTTCAGTCTATCGCTTTGGCCATGAATTGCGATGATCGGGGCTCTGTCACATTAACATTTGGCTTTCAAGAACAGTTTCGTCTGCATAGCGGCCGCATTAGCGTTACACTTGGTTGTAAATGGCGACGATGGATTCTTCGTGATGCTTTACAAGAGGCCCTGCACAATGAAAGATTAAAACAGAAATAGCCTCAATGTTGATCTTGAGACGATAGAACCATTTCTCGTTGGTATTGTTGCGAATGTGATCGTATTGCTAGAAATGCTGGACTGTGTTCAGAGCGTGGAGTGTTGTGTATGTTGCATATCTACCAATTGAAGGGGCTCTTCTGATCGAAATGTGTCTCTACGAAATTCAGATAACTTTCAGTTTTTCTTTGCATTCAGAATTGCCTATCTCTCTGATGCATTAAGCTAATTTTATTGTTAATTTCAATTCGGCATCCCCTGGTAAAAATTGGCGATAAGAGCTGCATTTCAAAATACCATAGGTATTCTTTTAGCCGGCTAAAGAAGACTACAGAAAATCAAATAGCTGGCTGTAGAATGCGGAGAAAGTCATACGGCCGGGCTATACGAGGCGATAAAAAATTATGCAGCCGGGCTATAGTTCCTATAGCCGGGCTTTACACTTTATCGCCTGGCTGTTGCTTTTTCGCCATCGATTATAAAAGGCTATGAGAAATTGTGTAGAAATTCGTGTGCTTTGAAATCATTAAGTTTGATACGGAACCACCTTAATATTTACAAAACACACGTTATATTTTCCTTTAAAAAAATTTTTATTCATCAATTAAAACGAGAATAATCCATACAGGATGTGCAAACATTTCAAAATCATGAGTTGAATAACGCTGACTCCGCCAGATGAAATATTAGAGCCTAACACAAAGCGGAGCGACGACGCACTGGCGCCTACAAACCTAACAGGGATACTTCACGCATTGCGCAACGCGTGAAGTATCCCTGTTAGGTTTGTAGGCGCCGATGCGCGTTTCGCGCTGGCTGCCCGCCTGCCGCACCGCAGCGTGACACGGCGCTTGAAGCAACTATTTCACACCAGAGGTATCGCACAGTATCATACGAAACTGAAGGTGCTCTAATATATTAAGAATGGCAAGCATCCATCAAAAGTACGGAACTTTCCTCGCAATATAAATCAAGATACTACGGCCCAAAAAGAGAGCAGTGGTCCAAAAACTCACTAAGTCCTAGCATCTGTAATTGGTGACGTTTAGCATACACTTTATCGCCTGGCTGTTGCTTAGTCGCCATCGGCTATAAAAGGCTATAAGAAAGTGTGTTGCCGGCTACAGAAGCTATTGGAAATCTTTCAGCCGGTCGTAGGTCTATGGTATGTTGGAACACAGAGTCTACTGCCAATTTTTACCAGGGTCTGTTGACCAAATGATGTAAAAATACCATAATTCCATGGCGGAAAACACGCAAGTTTGATTGCAGTATATTTCAACTTTATTTCAATATTTTCGTTGCAGTATTGTACTGAATTCCCTTTGATTTAATTCATTTGTAAATTGTCTCTATGAGCGTAAAAAAGTATACATCAATGGTTGAAGTCGAAAAATGCGTATCTCTATCAAGTACAACGTCTTAAAATATCTTATTAAATTTTATTTTTTTGAAAGAAAACAAACCAGTAGTTTGTATTGAAATTATCAGTGAATTTTCCTTCCTCGTCCTAAAAATATCACATAGATATGGAATGTAATATTTTAATTAGTGTCCTTTGTGCAAAATAAATCATAATCAGAGATTTTTAAACACTGAAATCGAGATACGCACTTTTCGAATTTAGCAGTTGATACATTGCATTTACAAGTGAAATACATGGATATTCCTTCTGGGTTAGCTGAGCTTTTTGTAACAAGAATCTCTCGCAGCTGATTATAAATCACAATCTTAAAACATTCTATTGGCTCTTCTTTTTTCAGATGAACGATGTTCTATCTACTAAGCGAGGGGATTCAGAACAAATAAATAATTCTAAGAAACCCAGCTTGGTGGAAAACAGAGAACTGCGCATGATGCTGAACGACACAAAGGCTAATCTGGCCGTTCTTCGCTCGGAGATGTCGCAGCTAAAAGTCGAGTATGAGAAAAAATGCCGCGAACTTCTTAGGTAAGAAGTTCACAATGAATAAATGTCACAGAGGCGAGGTGGGGTAGAAGATTATCGAAGGGGTTAGGTAGAGCACCTTTATTGTGAGAGTGTGGACACCGGAGGATTAATTTTCATTTGGTTCAACGGGCTAATTCTTTGAAATTGATAGACAAAGCTATAGACAAAGGGAAAAAGGGAAATCCAGAAATTTTATCAGTTGATACAGTTGGTTGTTATAGACCAAAGGGTGAAAACTATGGCATACTGATAGGGTTGGTGAAGTATACTCAAGTTACATAACTGAGCGTATTTCCTTAGTTTTGAAACCATTTTTCTGGATCCTATGGACCGTTTCCATAGTACCCACTGATTTACTTGTTCTGTAAAGGCATTGAAAGGCCAAAAAGGTATATACATATGTTTTGATGGTAAACATGAAGCAAAAAAAATTGAAACCCACAACATTAGTTATTTACTAAAGTGTACATTGCAAATAAAATAAATTGTATTTAAATTACTAATAGTCACTTGATTACCTGTGTGCCTAGGCATTCAAAAAAATACTTGATTTGACTGTCAACCTGCAACATTTATGTATCTACGAAAGGGTATCCCGGGATAAGCATGTCAAAATGCCCTTGTGAATGGATTTTTATTTTAACCATTTTAAGTCATCAAGGGGGTCCTAAAACTTAGGTTTTGGGGGGTTTCAGCCCCCCAACCCCCTCCGCCCCCCACAGACCCCCAAAAACCGCTTTTTTGGGCTATTTTTGACTATGCTAACGTCATTTCCTCATAACTTTCGTATTTTTCGATAGAATTGAACCAAAATTTGTCAGAATCTACATCAATTAGCTTAGTTTGTGTAGAAAAAAA